AATTCATTACCTGTAGGCCGCTGGCGTGAAGTCCCAGCGGTAGCTGCAGCGACTCTCTCTGTAATTCTGAGGCCTCCCCTCGCTCACCCTCCCTCAGGGGGCCTTGGCCTCTGTGTTTAGACACTCATGTTTTTTCTCACACGTCCATTGTGTGGCTTTCCTTAATTTGGTGTCCCATGGGGCGCCGGCGGGAGGCCACTCAAACATTATGTCAGTGATGTCAGAACTGAACCCCAGGGCTTTCTTCTGCCAGTGGCCTGAGCAGATGTGTGGCACACTTTATTAACTCAAGTACCCACGAGTTGAAAATTTCATTAGTTTGAGGGGAGGGCTAAGTCCTACCCAGAGACCTGGTCTGGACAGATTCTTTGTGTCAACCTGACCCCTAGCAAAACGGATTATTGTTCTAAGTGAGGCAAGTGCCCTAATGTTCTGCCTGTTACGCACACATGGTCTGTAACCTTTTAAAATACGAGTGTGGGAAAACAGCGCATTCTGCCATATCCCCGACTGCAAATTCCTGACAGGTGGCAGCCGGGCTCCTAGCAACGGCACAAGCAGCCTGGAATTATCCAGGGGCCACAGTGGTTCCCGTAGGCCAGGTATGGGCCAGGTCAGGAGAAGGCCTGCTGCAGGAAAGGAGCCCACGGAGGCAGCTTCTCGGCCTCCCTGGGACAGGCCAGGACATCGCAGAGGACCCTCAGCCTGGGGTGAGCTGGGAAGGACGCAGGAGCAGCCCACGTCCGCACCTCCTCAGCGTGGGTCCTGGCTTTCCAGCAGCACTGAGGGAGCTTCGCCACAGAACACTGCGGGGGAAGAGGGAAGTGCTGGCCTATTAGTTGTGTAGAGAGAGCTTACCAATGCTCCATTTTGGGTATTGGGTGCAGCCACATCCCGGCTAAGAACCCCTGTGCAGACCCACCTGCTCACCTGTTCACCGGGGCATCTCCTGCTTATTTGAACTGACCTCCTGTTCTGCTTGTTCGGCACACATGGTCTGTAAGCTTTCAAAACACGAGTGTGGAAAAGCATCACCTTCTGCCACAGCCCTGACCACAGATTCCTGTCCTGCGGCTCTGTGGGGAGAAGGAAGGACATGTGCCATGGAGTTCGGCACCTCCCGAGGCCTCCTCAGCTAGGCCCTGAGCTGGGGCTTGGTCAGAAGACAAGGTGCACCCACCTGGGTATACGCACTACTTGGGAATGAGAAGGTGGATAAAGGGGCCAGGTCAGGCAGGAGGTACAGTCACCATGTGGGGTGTGGGTGGAGAAGGGAGGCAGCTCTGACCAAGGACTTGGGAGGGCCCCCGGGGGAGAAGGGGTAGAGCAAGGCTTGAAGAGGCCAGAGGAGTGGGCTCAGGAGGGGTCCTGGGAAGGAAGGGGCCAGGCGTGGGTCTTGACTGGAGTTTGGGGGGTGCTACGAGGTGGCTATGATCATCCCCAGCATATTTGCTCTGGACTGTGTTTGCGGCTCTAACCAGGGCTGTTCCTGGGCCGAGAGAGATTTCCACCCCAGAGGGCTCAGGCTAGCTTACTATAGCACCGAGGCCTCCAGTGGGGCGTGTTGTGGAGATCCACCCAGTGATGCTCCCAGACCTCATGGCTACATAAGAATGCCTGATACCTAGGGACATGGCCCCCAGGCCTGGGCGTGGCCCTCCCCAAGTCTCTGTGACCTGGCATCCCAGATAGCTGAGTCTACCTTCTGACAGACACAAAGCAGAGCTGGTTGTAAAAACTTAATTAAATGAAATATTTTAACAAGAAATTCCAAGAACAGAATGCCCTGCTCATAAGCAAGTCCTCACAGAAATAAAAGCTGACAGGAAGCGTGTGTTCTGTCCAACAAGAGAAAGTTTCTGCAAGAATCAAGATAGTGCAGAGAGCTGGCCGGTGCTGTACAGGCAGGTGGACCAGGCTGGTTCTTGAGTCAGAGCCGGGCAGGGGTGGGGTCACCACCATGGGAAAGCGGGGACTCCTGACCGTCCTTCATCCACACCTTTACTGAGCATCGCTGTGTGCCAGGCGGTGCTCTAGGCTGAATGTGCAATGCCTTCAGCTGCCACCAGGTGTTTCCGCGCTCCTGTGAGAGGGCTATTTTACCAGATGAAGAAATGGAGCCTCAGGGAGATTACGTGGCTTCCCAGATTTAGGTCAAAGGTAAGATGGACAGATGTGGGACTAGAACCTGGTCCCCATGCTCCCCAAGTCCAGTCTCATTTTGCTCCAACCTGTCGTTTCTACCACAAAGAAATTACTGGCTGACCTGAAGCAGGGCCGCTTCCAGGGCTGGGGTGTGCCAGGGGAACACACCCTAAGAGAAGTGTGACCAAATCCTGTCCTCACGGGGGGCTGAGTGGGGCAGGGAACCTCACCGCCATTCTGAGGAGACTGCCCACAGACTAGATGACCCAGGCTGGTAGTGCTGAGGTGCTGTCACATGACCAGCTTGTGCCAGGTACAGATGAACATCAGACCTGATGGAGAACGGAGGGGCTTCATGATGGGTAGACAGATAGTCAAGGCTGACAGAGCTCAGGAGAGGCCTGGCAGGTCTTGGAAGGCTTCCTGGAAGAGGTGGGACTTAAGAGGACCCTTAATATTCCATAGAGAGTCAGGGGCGGGTGTTCCAGGCACAAGAAAGGGAGTAAGCAAAGTCTGGAGGTGGGTGAGAAAGCGTGGTATGTAGTCAAGGGGACAGGAGGGGCTCCACTTTAGATGTGAGAGTGGAACGAACCTGCATCAGCTTAGTCCCCAAGAAAACTTCACTCTCATGTATGTGTCAGTGATGATGAGGTGACAGGAAATATCTCCTGTTCCCATGTCAGTCTGGGGCCTCTGTGAGGAAAATGCACCAAGTGTACTGTTAACAAGAAAACCACAGGCCCAAAATGGTGTTGCTTGTGCTAAAGCCCATGATGCCAAACCTAGACGATACCTGACCTAACTGCAATTTTAACCTCTCCCAGAAATATATATATATTTAAAAAGATTTTATTGGGGAATTGGGGAAGGGGAACAGCCAAATTGTTGTCCTTCAATCTGAGTTGTGGAGGGCGCAGCTAGCTCAGCTCCAAGTCCAGTCGCCATCCGGTGGCCCGTCGGCAGCTCGCTGCTGCTCAGCTCAAGATGCCGTGTTCAATCTTAGTTGCGGGTGGGCGTAGCCTACTATCCCATGCTAGAGTCGAACTGGAAACCTTGTTGCTAAAAGCACATGCGTGAGCTCTAACCACTGAGCAATCCTGCCACCTGTTGGCAGCTCAGCAGCAGCTCAGCTCGGGCACAGCTCACTGGCCCATGTGGGAATCGAACCGACGACCCTGTTGCTCAGAGCTCGCACTCTTAACCAGCTGAGCCTCTCGGCCGGCCCAAGGAAATATAATCTTAATGAGCCAGTTTGAAATTTTCTGGTCAAGCACCAGTAAAATAATCTGTCATATGGGCGGGCCTTTGCCATCCTCTCCACAGGAAAAAGAGGCAGTCTGCATGATAAAACTCTTTCATTCTCTTCCAACCTAAAGAAGACATCCTAGTCTAAAAACAACCCCTCGTTTTCTTTTGCTGATTGCTCCTTTGCCCCACCCTTCTTCCTATAAAGACTTACATTTTGCACCCCCCTCAGAGGGCCCTTCCAGTTATGAGGTGAGATACTGCCCACTGACTACTGTGGAGGAGCTCTTCTGAGTAGCGGCTGCTCGGAAATGGTTGGCTGCCCCATTGGCCTGATGGAGGACTCTTGGGAGACCAGATTCCCATTAGGGTTTCCCGGACTTGGTGGCCCTATGGGGATCCTGGAGACTCTGGGCAGCCCCGGAAGATGGAGAGAGGAGTGAGGGGCTGGTGTGCCCAACGCTTGGAGTCTTCTCCATCTCCCATGATATTGGGGAGCTGGGGCTGTATGTGCCTCCCGTTCTAGCTCCTTGGCTTTGTCCCACACACAGAGCGACAGGGAGACTCTGCACCCCCAGTTTGTACCCTCATAGAGCAAGAGTCAGCCCTGCATGGGGACCTATGAGTGGGGAGGCAGGGTGCCAAGGAAGGGGAGGAAGAGTTGGAGGTTTGGTAAAAAAACATGGACTATGACATGGGGGCAAGGACGCAGAGGGAAGGGAAGAAGTAATCCAGAGTGTCAGGCCCCCGTCAGTGCAGAGGGCCTTCCGCTGTCCATCACTCATGGTATTAAGATCCATGACCAGAGGTCGAGATAATAAAGCAGGCAGAGGAAGTGATCTAAGACATCAGAGAAAGGAGGTACAGTGGGAAAAACCTTTGAAATGGACCAAATGGCCTGGCCTGATTTTGTAAAATTAAAATACACACCCAGTCATCTTGGGGCAGAGGAACTAGAAGTGGCTGGGTGGAGGCTGGGAAGGTAGCAGGCATGGTAGGGGTGGGGAGGTTTAGGAGGGTGGAGGCCAGTTTGTGGCGGGGCAGGGGCAGAGGAAAGAACAGAGCCGCTTTGCCTCCCCAGCATGCCGAGCAGTCCCTGGCAGCTCAGCCTCCTTGGAGGATATACATTGTCTCTCTCCAAAAAAACCAGTCAGCCTCATGGGTCTTCAACCCCATTCCTCCTTCCTTCCAAACCCTTTTCTGAGAGAGAAAGCCTACAAGCACTTCAGTGCCATGGCTAGTCAGTCAGTCAACAAATAGCCCACACCGGTGCTGAGGGAGTTGTCTCAGAGGAGTTCATGTAAGGGAAGAATTGTTTCAGCAAACTCAGAGAACCCCCAAAATGGGCTGGGACCTTTACCTTAGCTACAGCTGGATCAAAAAAGAAAGCTGACAAGGCCTTAGTGGCAACCCATTGCAATGGCCTGGTTGACTTCAGAGTTTGGAATAATTTTTTTTTAGGGAGCTAAATATTTCTCTCCACAAATTCTCTTTCCCCTTTATCACTCAAAACACAGTGTGCATTCTGCCAGGAGGATTTGAAATGTCAGACGTTTGAATCAATACCCTCATTTCACTATCTTTCAATATGAATGAGCCACAATGAATGCTCCAATGCACAATAAAGAATTCATTTATTTGTTCTCCCTACCCCCAAGTTTAACAGAATAACTCAGATCCTGATTTTCTTTAACTTGCAAAAATATGTTGTTTCTCAGAGTTCAGAGACCTTCAGAGATCTGACGGGCCAGCTTCAGAGCAGCAGGTTCAGTTCACATGTGCTTCTGCTTGTAGTCAGCTGCCTGCTACAGGGCTGGCTCAGTGTATGATTATATGAATTCAAACATACAGTTTGGTTTTTCCCCCTACTATGTGGAAGCTTAATTGGAGTAGAAGAATAAACGAGAATTGCTTTAAGAAAATTAGAAGGTGATAGTAAATTCTCCTGGAGCAATCTTTATGTAGGGGCTCATGTCACTGACGGCTGCCGATTGCAGTGCTTTTAGTAACTCAATCATATAGCTCAGAAACATGTGGTAGTTTTTGAAAGGACAGGTCAATCAATCTTTTGGACTCAGCAATGAATTTTTCACAGTAATCAGAGAGTTGGTTTGAAAAATCCTGTAGTTTATATTTGAACGGCTGGTGGTAATCAGAAATGATTTCCTTCATTGCAACGGCCCAGCTTTTAATTATTTCCTGAGCACTGGTAGAAAGCTCTACAATCTTCTCTTTCCTTTTTCCATCTGCATCGGCAAGGATGGTAAGATATTCCTGGATAGAGTGCTACACAACTGGCTCAAATTCACTTGAGAGTTGGGAAGCAAAGACAACAACTCTGGCACTGTATTTGGAATAGAAGTCCTTAAGGCCATCTACTAGGATCTTGATCAGGTTGATTATCTTTTCTTCAAGTTCGTAGTATTTCATTTTCCAACTGACCACACTTGGATCAAAATATTCTTTTTGAAGAGCCTCTACAGACTGACGGATCTGCTCTAACTTTATAGAAGCTTCCTGAAGTTTGTTTTGAACAAATTCATTAAACTTGTCAAATTTAGGGTATACGTTTTCTTTCAGGAATCTGAAAACATATTGAACATAGCCATTGAAGGTTGTGTTGATCTTATGTTGGATATCATTTATGAGAATAGTAAATTTCTTCTCCTTTAAGCGGTTCATTTCTCCTTGTATCTCTTGGAAAACATTTTGTAAATATCTCTGAAGATCACCCAGCATTTCTGTAGTTTTGTTAGACTGGAGGTCATTAGATACCTTTTGGATGCTTTGCGATAAAGATTTCAATAGTTTCCCATACACCAAGGTTATATCTGTTAGTTTTTGATTCCTTGGACCAAAAGGAAATTTAATCTTTAGGTCCTTGATTAATTCAGATTTCTCCATCAGGTCTTGGAAATAGGAAAACCATGTTTCTAACCAACTATGGAGTTTTGAATGTACCGGGGAAAGTATGTTCCCTATTTCCCTTATGACCATAGTGCAGAGTTCATCTATAGTGTATGTCCCAGCCCTTCCTGGGAGCTGGAGTCTGACGGACTTGAAGAAATTGATGACAAAGTCAATCAGACGATTGACCATTACTTTGCAATCCTCAGTAACTCTTATTAGGCTGTCAAACACCTTATTTTGAAGTTTCTGGAAATCGACGTGGCCCTCCTGATCCAACAGGTCCTGGTACAGATCCTGGGCCTTGTCATTCAGCAGCTGGTAGGCTTGCGTGGTGCCTCTGGCTACCCTCCCGAGGGTCTTATTCACCTCATCAATCTGCCCCACTACTTCTCGATAGGCCTGCTCAGCGCTGTTCTGCAGACTTTCTCTCACTTTTAAAGAAGCATCTTTCAGATTGAGACCTGTGTACTCCTCGTGGTACTTGTTGACGTAGTTGTAAAGGGCCCCTGTTGCCTTGGGTACATTGTCTTTCAGCGAGGTTAGCAATTCAGGCACTGCCCTCTCTTCCATGTAAACTTTCACCGGAAATATCTCACTAGGTTCCTGGTACCTCAACTCAGTTTTGAGTATGTTGAGTTTTTTATCTGGAGATGACTAAAACCAGAAAAGAAAAAAAAAATGAAGAGAACATGTTTTCAATTATCCTGATTATATAATATACTACACTAAACCTTCATTAGCAGTTAAAAGTAAAGATCAGAGGCTCTTTCATATTCTGAGGGGGGTTTATCTTTCATATGTCAGTTCGTATGTTTGTCTTACGATTAAACAAATCCACTAGTGTTAATGCTTCCTTATCATGTGCCTCAGAAAGGGTAAAATTATGCATGGCATTTACATAGTAACACTCAACAAGAAGGCCTTCCTAGGACTGAAGAGCGGAGGAGGAAGAGGAGGACGACGACGACAAAGGAGAGAAAGAACGAAAAGACTAATTCAGAGAAAAAGAAGTAGCAAAAAAGGAAAAAGTCCAGAGCCCACCCAGCAAAGATCTAGAATACCAGTATCAGGAGCCCCATGACAAGCTTCAGTAATAGAACCATCTAAGTTCTCTTCCTCTATTAAATCTAATGGTGTCTTTGATTTGGCCCTAGAAGGGCTTGTAAAGTACATGAGACAAATCTGGCATATCTCATCTAACAGTTCTATCGTGGGGAAGCAATTTGGAGTCTCACATATTCCAGAAACCACTATCTGAAATTCAGCCTGTGGAAGAGTTTGCCCGTGACTTAGGTGGTGAGGCATAATCCTCCTCTTTCTAGATTTGCCCCAAAGTAACAATGTAGCAGTGGCAATATGATGTCATGTGTACATCTAAGAATTAAAGTCAATAAAAGACTGGTTGTAATATTTTCTGGAGAATAGTTCATCAGAGAGGAAGTCCAACCTGCTCATTGCTTGTGTTTTACCTAGTCTGGGGAAGCCCTGACAGAATACTTCGTACTGGGGTGGGTATGTAACCCATCAGGTGGGACTCACCTGAGGGCGGTAGTACAAACTCCATTTTAAGGTATAATTATAGTTTTCCAAGTCCATGGCCACGGTTCCTATGGCTGGGGAGGCTGCTGAGTAGGAGTAGTTATTCTCATCTGCGCGGTAGAGCAGATGGACATCAGTAAATGTTGGGCTGGTGACATCAAGGCGAACCTCTCGTTCCCAGTTCCTGCAAGCAGAAAATCAGGTAAGCCATCATGAAAAGGAGACAAAGGTGGCAAAAATCACAGCAACTTGAAAAGGGAAGAAGTTTCAATAAAAGTCCCATACCAAAGTGTTTGGTATTTGCCATCTTCTTTATACTCTGCTTTGATGTCCTGGTGTGCAAATGTTCCTTTAGTCTGACAGACTAACATGGCATCTTCAATCTTGTGTGTCCCCACAACTGTATAGGAGAGATTTTCCATTTGATTACTAACTGTAGGACACAGACATTTTCATTGGGAAAACTGGGAGAAATCTATCTTAACTAAACGCCTTCCTTATATATTTGAAACACACAGTCCACAATTTTTAAAAAGAGAAATAATTAGAAGGAGATATTATTACTCCTAGAATCATTACAGAAATGTCTATTTTCTTTGAACCCATTCCTCTTGAATGTCAGTAGGTTTTCTACAGGATGGTTTTTACATGTGGGATAGATGTGTGTCTCCTCTTCTTTTAAATTTTCCTGTAGACAGTAATTGTGCCTCGAGTCATATCTAAATACATAATTATTTATTCATAACTCTCACTGAAAATATATAACACATAGAATTCTTACAGGAGAGGAGTCAGGATATTTTCTTACCATTTAGGTCATATTCCAGGAACCGTAAGATTGAGTTGCATGTGGAGCCCAGGAATGTTTCAATGTGATCGGCTTTGTTTTTCAAACCAGCACTCCAAGTAGCATTATACAGGGGAGAGGCCACCCCGACCCGTGCGGTCAGTGCTCCAAAGGAAGGAATGGAAATTCCAGCAGGTATAGAGAACTTAATGGAAGGGATCACAATAGTTTGTGCAGGCACGGTGACCTCTGGCAACTCAAAGTCTGCAATCATGCCGGTCACTTCATTTAGATCCAAAACAGCAGTGATGAATGAAATATTTTTTGGAAAGGTGAACTGGGACACAGTTAACTGAGATTCAGGCACGGTTACCTCAAAAAAGGGCACTGAGGAGTCATCTGGTTCAGAATGCTTTGTTAACACATCAACTTCAGGGAATGTCACTTTGGGTAGTGCTGGTACATTGAGGGAAAATGACGAAGTACTTAGCTTCTTGTAGATTTTTATTTCACTGAAGTCAAGTGTGTAGGACGGAACCTGGAGATCTGTAAATGGGACTCGGAATGTAGGTGTGACAAGAACCGCCTTCAGATTATTTAGTTTCAGTCCAGGAATAATGAATTCATCAGCCAATTCTTGCACAGGGACAGAGAAAGTGGAGCCATTGGGGTTTTTGGTGTATACAAGGTCTGTGGAAGCACGAAGATACTGTTTCCTATCAATACTGGTGGTTACATCCAGCTTTAGGATGTCCCATAAGCTCTTGTCATAAACTGGGAGGTCAATATATCTGAGGAATGATAGGTGCCCTTCTAAGGACCCTGCAATGTCAAGACGTGCCTCTTCTCGATTATTAGAAAGCTGTACATCGTTCTGCAGAGACCAGGAGTGAACCTGGATCTCACTTTTCCAGCTGACTTTCTGGTTCTCAGTGTTGGCATTCAGGGACACTTCCTGGCCAAGGTAATCAACATCAAGGAAGGAATTGGGTTGTCTTGCACGGACCTGAGCAAGGGCTGACATTTTCCACGGGGAGAGTTCTAGGGAGGCTGTGCTTCCATGCTCTCCTGATGTGAAGAACATGAGTCTGTCTAGCTGTAAGTGGTTTTTGGTATTGTGTTCCCAGATGGCATATATGCGTTGGAGAGTGGCTTCTCCAGCAAAACTTTCTTTTACTTCAAGGTTCCAGATATCATCAACTTTGGAAGTCCCTTGCAGCTTCACTAAAGACCGAGTACCCTTGGAATTCAAATAAGTGCTGACCTCACTGGCAATAGTTCCTGAATATTCCTGTGACAGGACTGAACCCTTGATATCTCCTTTGTTAGATGACTCAATGGAAAAGTAAGAAGTGAGGCTTTCTAAGCTGAGCTTGTGGTCAACTGTCCCTTTAGCGGCAGAGTACAACTTGGTGGAATTGAAATCATACTTTAATTCAATGGATGAAGAGATAGTCGGTTTGGACTTGGGATTTCCAGTAAGTTCTTGCTTGAAATCCATTTTCAGAATTGGAATTTGGACTTTGGCAGCTGTTGTCACTGAAGCGTCCATGTTTTTCTTAGTTAAGCTAATGGTACTCTCATGTTGGCCTTCCACATATTTGTTATTCAGGGACAAAACTGTGGCTAGCTTCAACCCTCTTTTCCTCGTCAATCTTGAGGTGCCCTCTAACTTGTACTGCAGTGTATCAATGACAGAAGAAGAGGAAGTAAGGAAATGAGCAACGATATCTGATTGATTGTGAAGTCCGACATTGGTATTCAGTGTGATGACACTTGATTTAAAGGAAAAATCATAGGTCATATTGCCCATGGCTGGAATTAAGATATTTCTTGGGATACTCAATTCATTAAATTCTGGGAGAGAAAGCTTGAGAAAATCCGTAGGGATGTGAAGGGCTGGCAGGTCTTGGAACGGCAGGGCTAATGTATATGAGGGCACAATGACACTAGAGCCTGAGGTGGTGAAGCTCGGGGTGCTGATCTGTTTTGGGATCACATAGCCGAATGCAAACATCTCTACTGTGAATGGAGACACTTCAATGTTGACGACTGGAATAGTATATCCAGGAATCTGAAAGGTCCTGGATTGGTTGTTAAGGGATTGTTCAGCTTTGTGCTTATCAAATGAAATTTTCACCTCATTATAGGATTTGGTAAACAACTCTAATGCCTCGCCTCTGACTTTCTCAAAATGCCTGTTGAAGGAATTGATGTTCTGATTGATAAATGCATAAAACACATCCAAAGGAACGGAGATGGAATGTTTGTCTTTGTTTTTCTTATACTGAGCCTTTACAGTTAAATCAAATGATTGCTTTGTTGTTTTCAAGAATTCCTTCAAGCCTGTTCTTTCCCATAAGGAGAAATCTTTCACCTGTGGAGTTGTGAGTCTTGTGTAAGGCAGAGTCATTTCAGGAATTGTTAAAGGAATGTTTAAGAAATCCAGGTTGGCTTCTCCATTTATTCCTACGTGGGCCTCGATGCTGTTCTCATTGTTCCCAGCAGAGAAATTCTGATTGTACTTATACTGATTGAACCTGGCACTTGCTTGCCAACTTGCTTGCTGGGCATTAGGACTCAGAAACAGTGCATAATTATTCAGGAAGTCTACTTTCCCTGTCAATTTTAATGGAAAACTAACTTTCAAATTCCCTTCATTGTTTGTGGAGGTGGCAATTTCAAATGGCTGTGCTGAAAAGAAAAGAGAATTTTTCAGCGTTCCGCTAACTTTTCCATTTAAATGAGCATCATGGTTGCCAGTTAGCTCTACCTTCTTATCTCCAAGCAGTGCAGTGCCTTTAGCAGTCAGAACACTGTGGCCCACATACTGAGATTCAACTTGTGACTGGATTTCAAATTTAGCAAAGTCGAGGAAGTCAGACTCAGAAACCAAGGTTTGGTTTACTCTTAGGTGTTTGCTATTAATCTTGTTAGACATTCTAAAGGAAGGGTTGGATCCTTTTGTAGAGAAGCTAATTTGTGATTCATGTGTTCCCTCATCCGAGAATTTGGGGCAGGCCCATTTCCATGACCCTCTCCCAGAAGAAGTCCATGTTCTGTGTCCATCTTCCAACAGGGCTTTGATTTCATTGTGCAGGTCAGCCTGACTGGAGAAGTCCAGTTTGGGGATGTTCAATTTGTGGAAGTACTTTGTGTTGCTGTCCAGGGTCATCTGTTCATTTACCTTGATGAGCACACCATTGCTAATCTCCAGTGTATTTTTTTCTGTGTGTATACCTGCCACTGTGTTTGATTTTACCTCAACAGTATTTCCCAAAGACAGCACTTCCTCCTTATGCTCTATGTTGAGGTACTTGCTAGAGAAACTCACGGATTCCTTCAGAAACAGGGGATTAATCTCAGGGTCTAAAAGCTGTGCATTTGCTTGAAAATCAAATTTGAGGACTTCTAATTTGGAGTCTCCTTTGGCAGTGATGGAAGCCATAATTTCTGCATTGTTCTTGGATGTAGTTACATTCTGAATGTCAGCATTCGCATCTAATGTGAAAAGGGGAGACTGGATTTTCAGAACACCATACAGCTTGCCCAAAGCAGGTACTTGGACTGTGTCTGAGATTTTGGGAAGCTGGAATTCTGGTATATGAAGGTCAAGAGCTTGAAAATCTTTAAGGTCAAGATGTGGGATTATGAATTCTGGAATTGTGACTTCTGGTACCTGGAAGTCTGGCAGAGTGATTCTAGCGAGAATGGTGTCCACTCCCTTCAGATCCCTCAGGTATACTTCCGGAACCGGCCACTGCAGCTCACTGCTCAGTATTTGGTCAATGGTCCGGATGATCTTTGCTTTTATTTCTGCAAAGTCAATTGTAATGGAAGGGATGTGGAGGGTGTTGAGGACAGTAAATTCTGGTGTGGAAAAGCTGGATGGAATTTTTATATCTTTCAACTTTTTGAAGTTTATCTGAAGTGATGGAATCTTCAGATCTGTCAGGGGGACTACGAAGTCAGGAGTCTGATATGTAGCTTCTCGAAGGGCACGGAGACTGACTTCAAAGGCAGGAATGGTCCCGAAGATGGTCTGGATTTCAGGAACAGTGAACCCTTGTTCTACCAACACTTTCAGTTTTTCAGCCCAGTCTTGGAGAGAATACTGTTCTGCAAAGTCAGTAATGTTCTTAGCAGCAAGACTCCACCAGTCAGAAATGTAAGTGACAAGTGTGCTGTAAACTTGGCCTACCAAGGACAGGTATTGCTGAATTTCTCCCTGAAGGTCCATTTGATACATTTGGTTTCGTATCTCTTCTAGGGTCTCTTGGAATTTGGCTTTCATATAAATTAAAGGTGTTGAATTTAAAGCCTCCTGTAACCAATCTATGAATAAGGTTATCTTGGTGTCTTTTAGGATTTCCAGATGGGCTGAGACCACAGCCCTGATGTCCTCTACAAACAGTTTTAGTGCTTTAGCTTTCTGTGGGAGGTCCACAGCCTGGATTTGACCATTGATTCTCTTAGTCACCTCACGGATTTTGTTATTGGTTTCATCTACAAACTGGTGGTAATCAAATGACTTTAATTTCTTTACCAACAGGTCAAGGAATTTGTTTACTTCTTCCATGAATTTTTTGAAAGACAATGCTTTAAGCTGATTGACAGCACCATCAATAAACCCAACCAATTTCTCAAAGAGATCTATTATCACATCTTGTTGTAAGAGATTGCTTAGCTTCTGAACGGTCTCCTTCAACTTATATTGGTGGGCCAACTGTACTGATTTATCCATTAAAACCTGGATGTGTTGGTCTGTTTTATACATCTTAATTAACTTGAGAACCATGTCTCCAAAAGCATTGATTTTCTCAGTTACTTCAAAATTGTCAATGAGATCACTAACATAGTATTTGACATGCTCAATCATTTCCTTTATTTTTTGAAATGGAATTGTAGTTCTCAGCTGATCTAAAAACACTCTGACATCAATAGCTTCAACCTGTTGTTTTAACTTTTCTGCAAGGTGCTGGATGTCAATATCCTGAATCTGTGTCTTGAGATGTTGCAATTTTTCTTGTACCTGGATTCTGATTTGATACTTAGTATCCATATTTTGCATCCAAGATGCTGTACTACTTCTGATTTTATTAAAATCAATCTTTTCAATAAACAAATATAGGCCATGGATTGTTTTTACTACATTTACACGGATACGATAATGTTCATCAAGAATGTTCAATTTTTCAATGATTCGATCAATAATCTTAGCAATAGCTGCTTTAAAATCGTGAACATCATAATTATCTTTAATATACTGATCAAATTGTATCACATATGTTTGTACTTGAGATAGTTTTTCATTAAGGTTGATTTTGAAATTGTCCAACGCCATTTTTATATCATTATCTGTAATTCCATATTTTTTTGCCAAAGCAGTTAGTTTCTCCTTGGTACTTGAAACTTGTCTCTCCCAGTTGAATTCATTCAGGTAATCATTAACTTGTTGGGAGAGTTTGTCCAAGGCTGCTCTGTATTCCTTCACGAATTGATCAATATCGACATGTTTCAATTTTCTTTGTATGGTTTCCAGTGCAGTTATAATTACTATTCGATTCTTCTCAAAATATTCTGGCAGGATGTTAAAGAAGGGGAGGTGGATGGTGTGAACATCTTGGTTCTTATCGTATTTTACAGAAGCAACAATAGTGAATCCCTGGGGCTGGTCAATAATGTCCCTTATCTCCAAAGCATCAATTACATTGACAGGCTCACTGAGTAAAAGTGGCACTCGAATGGGGGAGTCCAGCATGGTGAGGTCAGCCTGGGCTCGTCCGTTAAGCTCCACGCCGACTTTGTCTTTCATGTTGTAAGCATCGAAGTCATGGCTGTATTCATTTTTGTTGAACTGGGTCCTGAGTTTCCAGGTGCCTTTCTGCTCAGCTGGAGTGAGCAGGACACCGACTTTGTGATCAAGAAGAGAATTGATGCTCTTTCTGGACATGAGATCGTGACTTGTGGATCCTTTGTAATCATGAGAGAAAGTAAGGGCCAGAGGTTCTGCTTTTAACAGGAATTTGCTGTACAGCTGCCCAGTGTGGTCTCCCCAGAGAACCAGTTTCCCGTTGCCATTTGTATGGGTATCGATGGTCATTGTAAACGGGGCCATTACAGAGTGGAAAGTGTTGCTGAAATGCAGTGATTCTGAATTGTAGTTTGTACTGATGTCAATGGCTGAAGCTAGCCCAGCAATGTTCGCGCTGAGCCGATGGCTAACCTCTGTATCCTGCACCTTAGCGACAGTGTCTGCTTTATAACTTGCGGATAAGTCTGCATAAGAGATGGTGTAGATGTGTTTGATCTCATTATTTTGGTAGGCTCCTTTTATGTTTCCACCCACATTCAGCTTGAGGGGTTCTAGCCGTAACTTCCCATGGTTGGTCAGATCCAGAGCATTGAACTTCAGGTCATTGTTTAAAGTAGTTACAAGAGAATAGGGCTGTAGCTGTAAATTAAAAGTTTGCTTATAAAACTTGTCAGAACTATAAATGTTGTCAAGTTTTGAAGAGAAGTCCAGTGCTAACCCTGCAATGTTCAGATTGTTTGTGTAGTCAAGTTTCATTTCATCATATGAGCCCATCATGTCATGTGAAAGCTTGAGTCCTTCCTGGTTGATTTTGAAATTGAAAATATTTTTGCTGTCGACGCCCAGAATCGTGGCCTGATAAACACTTCCCAGTGATAGCTCTGTGAGGGCAGCTTTTCCATCTAGACTGAATTTTGCATTGTGTTCCCTGAAGCGGCCATTTGCTGTCAATTTCACAGATGCCCCAGAGAGGCCGAGCGCTGCATTCAGTTCATTCTCCAACAGCAGGGGGCTGTACTTGAGGTTGGTTGTTGCGCTGGTAGACAGTCCATCTTGGGTAATCCGTAGTGTTCCTTTGTGAGCACCAGTATTAACTTTGTCAGTGCCCAAGATGTCAGCATTTAGTTCAAGACCATGGGAATTTAGTGATCCAGAAAGCAGGGTGAAGAACCTCAATGACTTGTAATCAGCATGATACTCAGAACGGAGCAATGCACTTTGCTTAGAGAAGGTCAGATCTACTTTGTTAGAAGTGGCAAAGTCCTCATATTTCCCATTGGTGTCAGATTTCAGAGTCAGCTCGTGGTTCTCATATTTCAGGGAAGCAGTGTTTTTCATGACACCATCTTGCAAATCTGAGGTGGAGGTGAAGGAGACAGTTCCGTCTTCATATCTTCCCGTTATCTGGTTGGTGCCCTGCAGGTAGGTGGAGTTAAACCTCAGCTTGGACTCTCCGCTTACTTGGCCAGTGGTAGGATCCTTCTGATAAGACAGGCCATATGCACCTTTAGCATAGAATGAAGCAACTCTGAACCGCCCATCAATCTTGGCTTCCTTGATATACAAATGCTCTTTCCGTTTTGAGTCTAAATGTACTGAAGCAGACATCTGTGGTCCCCAGTCACTAGATGCATTGAATGTTAGCAAGCTTTTTGAGGCTGGGTTGTTTCCAATGTTTTGTACATGACTAAATTTGACATTTGAATCCAGAAATTTGTGGTATAGAGACCCATCACATGATAATGTGAATGTATTCTTGTAGTCATATGTTGTTTCTCCGGATCCTAACATAAAAATGGAAACACATTGGTTAAATTAGGCAATACATTTCCAGAACAATTTCTATGCTGTAAGACTTTCAATAATAAAGTGACATTGATCTGGGTCGACTGTTGTAAACAGTCTCTTCCATCTATAACATAAGCATAAAATCTGATAGCAAAATCTGAAGACTTTCCTGACCACTGCGCACCTCACTTAACAAATGCTTTGCTCCCTTAACAAATGCTTTGAGTGTACCTTGTACTTATACGCTATACCCTATCATAGCACCTCCTACACTGAATTATAATTTCCAGTTTATCTGTCTGTAGTAAATATTTTTATTGGTTGAATGAATGAATGAATGAATAGGCTTCTAAGTAACAGGGGACATATCTGTAAGGAAGCCCAAGTCTTTTCCTCCCCAGGGGAGGCTATCCCATCAGAGCCTGCAATGAACTAGCCCTGTGCTCCCTCTAACCAAGCATGGCTTACCTTGCAAACTGTAGGACAGCAGGTTAACCACAGAGTCAGCCTTCATGTGGTACCGAGCCTGAAGGCTCAAGTGATCTGTGCTGGTGTTGCCGCCAGTATAGGACACAGACCAGTTGTACAGGTTGCTGTAGATATTTGTGGAGACGTCTAGAACACCCAAGAGAGGCACCCGCAGTTCGTACAACTTGGGAATGGTAAAAGCGGGGACTCGCAACTCTTGAGATGGCAGGTGGAATCCCACAGACTTGAAGTTGAGGGCTGGTGTCTGAATCGTCTTCAACATCTTTAGATCTTCAGAGGATTTGCCACCAAAAGGCAGAGGAATCTCAATTTTCACACTGTTCTTGTTCAAGGTATACCTGACCCGGCCATCACTGTAAGGAACAACAAAGACAACGTCCCCACAGTCAGACAACAAGAACTCCGCCATCTGGCTTTCCAAGCAATAGTGCGTGCCCCATTTCCAAACCCATTCTCACTTTTTCTCATGCTGCTCCCTATGCCCAAGTCCTGCTTTTACCTCCGTCTATCAAACACTCACGTCCATTCAAAACCCTTCCAAGAGCTGCTTCCTTATCAGTACAGCCTGTTTAAGTCATGTTAATGTCTCTTGTTCTTATAGCGACATAGTCTGTTACACCTATTTCAGAGTGCATGTCTTACTTCTGCTTATATAATGCAAACACATTTGCTCCTTTGCCGTGTCTACGTTGCCATGGGAAGAAGGGTTACATCTTATCTATTTTTTTTTGCTCTCACTGCATCTAGTCTAGTATCTTATACATAGGCGACATTTGATACATATTTGCTAAACTGAATTGAAGCAACTTGATATGTGGAAAGAACACAGGTGTGGGTTAGAGTGTTAGCTTCCACTGATGGGTAATATTATGTTAGTGAATTCAACTCTCTGAGTGTCAGTGATGTTATCTGTGTAGTGAGGATAATAGCACCCTTTCTGCCGACCTCACAGAGCTAAATATCAAATGAGAAAAATACCCAAAGTGCTTTGCAACCTTGTCAATACTATGCACATAACAAGGGATTATTATAATAACTTATAAGAATAAAGTAGGATGGCAGAGTTTTAAATCTGTAAGCAAATCAACTGTTCGTTACATGACTCCAACAGGGACTGGATGCTGCCTGTCCGGGATCCTCACAGTCAGTAGGAGGGGGCTTGCTAAGGCCCTGCCTGGTTTTTAGGCCCGTGGCCCTGTCTTTCTAGCACAACACAGAGAAGACTGCTGGCCAGAAGCACTAACAGTGAAGAAAGAGGGTCCTGGATCCTCTGAAGTTGTCCCTTCCTTCTCTTATCTTCAGTATGTTTGTCTATATGAGTGCTTTGGTGGACTTCAGCCTTTTCATACTTATTTGGCCTATTAAACTTTGCTGCTCAGCCATCAACTATAGAAAAGCCCGTGTGACACAGGCCACTTGTCTCCTTAACCCTGAAGATCATACAGAGAACAGACAACCTAGAAGAGACTATTGTCTTTACAGCTCACGCTCTGACAGTTTATTTTCATGACACAAAGTAAAGCACTATGTGTATTTCAGTAATGACAGAAATGACCTGAGACATTCAGTTGGAAATCTGACTTTCCCATAAGGATGAAGCTATATTGCTAACATAAAATATTCTCTCAGAATGCTGCCTTCATTCGGTGTGCAATGGCTGCTCCAACCCTCTAGAGCTCAACAGCAAACTTGCAGTCAACAATTCCGCTAGATGCTCTTGAATTCTTCACAAACAATTGAGTATATTCTGATCCTGAACAAAGGGATGATTCACTAATAATGGAGGAAAACTGAATGGTTTTCAAATTCAGGTGTAGTGAATAAAACATCTTGAGGTGAAAATACCGGAATTCCTAATGACTTTCTTAGGTTCTTTCTGACTGGATTGGTGTTCACAGTCTGACCTCATGTTTAATGATGCAAATATGCCACAGTGTTTATGCTACTGTTATTAATCTCCTTATAGTGTTTAAAATATTTCTCTTCAAAAAGTAAATTAAAGTCTACATCATGCTAAATAAAATCTTCCATTGACTTTGGAAGGCTCTAGAAAAATTTTCTGGTTCCTTTTTATACCTTTTCAAGAAGAGGTTTTCTGGAATGTGGAAATCCGGCAATCCCATTTTCTGGAGGTTCAACTCTTTTAGGCCACTGAGGTAATCTTGAAAATTCTGGGCATAAGGAAGACTCATGGGTGCCTTCTGAAGCCATGTGGTTGTTGCCTACAAAATAATAGAAGTTTTCAGAACAATGGGCATGGATGGACCTCCCAGCGCAATTAACATTAGGCAATAATCCATATTTAACAGATCAATCACTAAGCAGGATGACACACTGAAAGTAAAAAGTGAATCATAGAAAATTATGAATTTTGGTTGTCAGTCACTGATCTCTTCCTGTATTTTATAACAGGAATAATAACATAGCAAAATTCCTAGCCAGTGTCCTGAAGCTTCCTTTGATATCTTAGTCACAGCAAACTCTTCTGCTTAGTAGTATTCATTTGGAACTTATCACCTACAGCCCGTGTAACTGAGCAATCATGCATCAACATTTCTTTTCTCTCTGGGAGTTTCCCGGGGGTACGAAGCATGGCTTATCCTATTTCGATCCCCTCCTTCACCTAACTCAGGGCTGCGCATGTAATTAGCTCTTATAACCATATATTTATTGACTGACTGATTTGTACTTACAACTATTAATTTGGAACCCATGTGACGGAAAGTCATGTCTGTTTGAGGAACTTTGTAATCCAAGAGACTATTGGCATACATATGCAAGGTTTTAGGATAACGTGCGAGATCCATGGGGAAATTGGAAGCCACTTTTTTGGTATCCACGTTGGAGCCCGCATTCCATTCGAATTCAATCTTCTCTTCATCTGAAAATGCACATATGAGATAGTCGTCAGTGGTACCAGCTCAGCTCCTAACCAATGGCTTTCAACACTGCACTCAAGGATGAAGTGCTCTTGGAAGCAGCGCTCATGTGGGGAAGAGATACATACCATAACGCCAGGCCACCTTCTTGGAAATTGTTGAGCCATAAGCTGTAGCAGAGGAGTCCATTTGGAGGAGCAGCTTTGCAGGAGACCACTGGGTGAGGATCTCACTTCTGGCTTCTGCTTGCAAACGGGGTATGGAAATAACACCTTTGATTTTGCCTTCTTTATTCCTGTCACCACTATTGAAAAGAAAATCAGTGGACATCAATGACTGTGTCTATTCCAAGGAGATATGCAGGATTAAACAGTTAGAAGTTGGACTTGTGGTGATGAAAATGAGATACATGAGTGGCTTGGAGAAATGACCAGAAATTGAACTCATTAACTCGTACAGCCAACTTCAGCACAAATTCAGGACTTACCAGGAGGTATTCTAAAGAAGGTTTTCTAAAACTGTTTGAATGCTGCTGTCCCATTTATAGCTCTATTACCTTGGCCACATTATTTAACCCCTCTGAGCTACCATATCCTCATTTAGAACACAGGGAAACTCACATCTACCATGCAGTTTATTATGAGGACTGAGATACTTTCTTTAAAGCACCCAGCACAGTGCCTGATGAGTAGTAAGCGCCTAGTGAATGACAGGAAGATCTGACTAGACATGGCACAGAGTCAGAATGTCACAGGCTCTGTCTGTCCCTTGGACTGTAGACCAGGAAAGCCTCTGGTCTGGTCAGCTTTAAAGCTGGAAAGGGAGGTCAGCAGCTCAGGTCAGATCACCCTGAGTCTTCTTTACCTTATGTAGCCAATGAGGGTGACTTCAGTGATTTTCTTGTTTTGAATGTCCAGGGTGAGTTTGTAAGCCTTCTCTTCCTCAGAAGACTCATCATTAACTCTGAAGACTGTCCCAAGGTCAACGTCAAAATCTGGAATTTGCATTTCACTGGACAAAGTCATACTCTGCCGGTTATACTTGAATGTCACAGAGGCCTCGGTCTGCTTCACACCTAAAAGAGGGTACAAGATCATCAAAACATGTATTCAGAAGCTATGTTTAGGTAGGAAAAGAGGCAAAGGCAGAGCAACCTCATGTACTCAAGGTGCTTACATGACGGCACAGGATTTTAACTTAAATGTTTCACTCAGTGGTGTTCATGCATTTGCTCAATCTGCAAATATTTATTGATTGCCTATCATGTGCTAGGCACTGCTCTTGGGTACTAGGCACTGGGGAGTCCCTGCTCTCAGGGAGGTTACATTCTAGTGGGCGTGTAAAGACAATAAACAGGTAAATTATTTATGTCAGATGGTAATAAAGGTTACAAAGAAAAGTACAACTGGGTAAGACAATAAAAGTTAGAAAGGGACAGAAGAGGTGCTATCTCATTGGTGGTGGTCAGAGAAGCACTCTTTCAGAAGGGGATATGTGGGCAGAGACTTGAATGAAGAGAAGGGCGGAGCCATGCTACGTTCTGGGGGCGGGGTGTGCAGGTGGGGGTGGAGAGCATTCCAGGGTGAGGGAATTGGCAACGCCAAGGCCCTGCTGTGGGAAACACTCGGCGTGTCCAGGGAACAGTAGGGCTCGAGGTCCTTCTGTGTGAGGCAGCTGTGACATCTCTGTATGACTCTCCACCTAGGCACCCTTCCTGGTTCCTTGCCACCCCTGCCCTGCCTTCTCCATTCCCTGACTCCTTTCTTTGTAACAAGATTCCCATGTTTTCTTCAATCCATGGGCATATCCACTTTATTTCTTCTGTAAAATTGTTACATGACATATTTTTTTTTCAGTACACAACACTCCCTTTCTCCTGTGGGTCTTGTTTTTCTAGTTTAATTTGGTGACATACTATTCCTACATAAAAAAAAAATCTTCCAAAGTGAACATCTGAGTTTGTCCATCCCTTAAAACCTGCTTTTCCAGCACCCTTTTCCATCTCAGTAAATGGCATCTCCATTCTTCAGTTGCATAGACCCCAAATCTTAGAGTCATCCTGATCCCTTTGATCCCTTACACTCAACACCCATTGTATCCACAGAGCTTGTCAGAGTACCCTTCAAAATATGTCCAGAGCCTGACCATTTCTCAGAAATCCTCGGCCAGCACTCTAAGCCAAAGCACCACCATCTCTGCCTGGATTATTGCCATCGCCTACATACTAGTTTTCTGCCTCTGTGTCCCTAAAGTCTTGCCTCAACATGAACGTAAATCAAATCGTGAAAACTCTCCAGTGGCTCCTTATTTCACTTAGCAAAAGCAAATGTCCTTCTTATAGCTTATGAGACTATTCTTTCCCACTGCCCCCTATGTTTGTGACTTCCTCTCCTGCCATTTACCTCCCTGATACCTGTGCTTCAGGTGTACAGGCTGCCTCCCTTTTTTTCAAACATGGCAGCCATGTACCTGCCTCACCTCCACTTAGCCTGTAACACTCCTTCCGCTTGGCTTATCCCCTTACCCACTTCAGGCATCTCTTGTATGTTCCCATTACCAGCGAGACTTGACTTTATCATTCCAAATGGCACTGCCTTCCTCTATCCTTCCTCCTCCCCCCACTCTGACATTCTCTGGACTCCTCTGTGTTCTATTTTTCTCCTCAGCACCAATCTGACATTCTAAATATTGACTCGTTGGGTTACTCACTGTAAACTCCAGGAGGGCAGAGACTATCTCCACTGTTTCCTGTTCTAGCCTCAGCTCTTAGAACAGGCCTGACACTTATCGGTACACACTTATTAAATGCATTCAATTAAATATGCTCTCCTCGTGCACCCTGGACCCGAGAGAGAGGGAAGCGAGGAAGTCCTTGTCTGGTTACTTGCCTTCTGCCTGAGTTACAAACTTCAACATGTCCACCAAGACTTCACCCTCTCTCTGGAGTTCGTAGGTTGCGCTGGCAGAATACTGCTCTACTTCTCCCGTCGGCTTCAGTTCCAGTTCAAACCTAAAGATGTTACAATGCATACGGTGCGTGACCTTAGAGAATTCCATGATCATGACAATGTCCCCCAAACAACTCAGCCTCAAGAGCAACAAAAATATGGTCCTTATTTTCACATCGTTTCTTGTGCCTAACATTATAATGATGATCTTTCAGTCCCTCCAAGAGCTCAAGGCAATGGCAGAGCCTGGGATTCCCAGAACATTTGGACAAGCAGAGCAGGCGTTGCTGGCGGTGTCAGCAAAGCTGAGAACAAACAGTGGAAGTGGGGGAAGTTAAAGACAAGGAGCTTTTAAGCATGGCGGGGGCTTTGAACACATCAGTGGGCTCCAGGGAAGGCCATGCCAATGTGTCCAGAGGCTCAGAAACATGGACATCGAAAAGAGCAGATTGAAATCTGTGCTGTGATCCCCTCATCTCATGCATAAGAGAGTAAGAGGGAGCACCGTGAATAAAGAGATGTTCTTAGAGGAGTGATTCTCAACAGCAGTGCATGCAGCTCACTTGGGGGCGTGTGATAGCGTCACCTTGGTTGTTCATGGTTTGAGCTAAGACTTCCCTTAGGGCTCATGACTCCTCACTCCCAACACTGCCCCTCCCCTCCCACCTAGGAGAAACCCAGGCCTCCTTCAAATTTTAGGTAGGAAATGTGTGCGGTTCAGCTGTGTTGGGCAGAGGACAACTGTTTTAAATAATTAGAGGATGGTGTAAATACTTGAGGCTCTTGACCCAGGCCTACGACCCACAGCATTTTTCCTTTGCCCTGCTAGGTGATCATAATGTAGAAGGTGAGCCATGCTGGACGGGCTGGTCTGACCTGGTGTCTCCGGTCAGCGGATAGTAAGGAGAGTCTGTAGAACTGGCGTTGGAGTAAGCACCATTGATGCAGTAGTTCAGGCCAGTTAACAAAGGCTTGCACATTGACCAGGACTTCCTGTTCTCGGTTAGAGGTGGGATCACTTCCATTTTGGTTGTAGAGACCAAATGCAATGTGTTACTAGTGGAGAAAGAAAGAAAACCTGAGTTATCTTCATGTCGTGAATCGAAATGAACGTCACTGGTTCTCACAGTGCAAATGGCCCCTTATCCTGCTCTCTCTCTCCCTCTGTCCACACCTGCCTCAAATTCTTTGATTTATTCAGGAATAAATCATAGTAAGAAGACCATCAGCAAGGCTAAGGATCACAGTGGCCCTGCACCAGTTCTTTACATCTGTTATCCATAATCCTCACAAAAGTAGGCATTAGGGGTCTCCTTTTACACAGGAAACAGAGGCTCAGAGATGTTAAGTAGTGATCACTGGGATGCAACCTCAGGTGTGCCCCTTCCTACCTATGATTTAGGGTAAGAGGGGCCCCGTCTCTCTTTCATCTGAAATCTCTTAGTCTCTACTGGTTTCTTTTCACACCATTATTAAACACACTCAAGTCTCTTTTCCCATTGTACACACACACACACACACACACACACACACACACACACACACACACAACTTTCTTCCTCTTCTAGCCCCCTCTTGTCTCCCTCACAATCAAGAAGTTTGTCTGTCTTTGCAGTCTTCACATTCTTTCAACACCCTTTGTCTCTGAACTGTGATCTGACTGCCTCCCCCTTTGTGCTTCTAGAACTGCTCTCATCAACATCTCCAATCACCTTCTTGCTCTTAACTCCAAGGGACATTTTTTGGCTCCATCTTCCTCGATCTCTGGGAGGCCTTTAGTAGACTTGCTCATGTATGGCCAGATTAAGACTTTAGAGTCTGTAACCTCTGAAAAGATTATGGTAGCCTCCTCCTAGTAAGTGCAAGGAAGTTCAACAATGCCCTGATTTCATCCACGGACTCTTTCTTTGGTATGTTATGTTCTTTCCTTAGTATTGTTTCTTCATTTTAGGGTGCCCTAGGACAAACCTCTGCTAGTAACGAGAGCCCTCAGTGCCAGCTTTGGCCCGCCTATGGGGCAATCTACTTGGGCTTCTATGACCCGTCATGGCCTGATGCACCTTCTGCCTCTCTGGTCACTCCTCACTCTTTGCTGCTTATTCCTCTCCCCCTTCACATGTTTATACTCTCCACGTTTCTTTCCTAGTCCCTCATGTCTTTACATCAATTGCCGTTTGATTTCAATAACCTCTACAGGCCAGTGACTCCCAAATTTGTATTCGTAGCTCAAACCCTTTCACTGAGCTCAGACCTATTGGTCCAATTGCAGCTGGAGATTCTAATTGGTTGTCTCGCAGGACTTCTAATGCAATATATCCAAGCCTGACTTTGTCATCTTCCTCCATACCAGCCACTCTCCCTTTTTAGTCCGTTTTTCAAAAAAGGGCACCCCCTACTCTCCTTTCCTCTTTCTTTTGCTTCACCCCCATAGCCAGTCAATCACCAAGCACTCATATTCCTACCTCCTAAGAATTTCTAGAGTCAGTTCACTCCTCCTTACACCCCAGGCCTCACCTGGTGCAGGCCACTGTCACCTCTCACCCATGCATGATTGTGACAGACTCCTAACTGGTCACCCTGTCTCCAGTTGTGTCTCCTGCCCACCCATTTTCCACTCTGGATTCAGAGTATTTCTCCTAAAATACCAACCCTTATTTATGCTCTCATTTGAAACTTCTTCGCCCTCAGAAGAGTCCAAACTCCTCAAGATGGTTCACAAGACTGACCCTTGCCAGCCTCTCACGTCATCTCTCACTACGTCCCCTGTCCACTGCATCACACGGAATTCATTGCAGTTCCTGAATCACCTTCTTTTTCATTCAGGCCACTGCACCTGCTTTTCTGTTCACCTGGGAACACTAATTCCTTTTCCTTTGTCTTGATAACCCTGACACAGCCTTTAGATATCAGCTCAAGTGTGACTTTCTTCGGAAAGCTTTCTCGAACTACCACAGGCTACATGACATAAAATTTCATGGTCCCCCAATACTTCTTCTAACTTAACCCCCACTTTAGAGCTACTGCTTACTTTATTGTATACCATCCCTGTATGCTATAAGCTCTAGAAAGCCAGGGATCTTGTCTATCTCACTCAGCATGCTTAGTATATATTAGGCAATTAAATTTTGTTTTTGCTATTTTTGAATCAAATTAATGCAGAATATGGAAAATAAGGTAAATCAGTGTTTGGGGATGTCATTGAAAAGGAAGTCCTCAATATGAGGCTGCAACCCATAATCATGAGGTTAGGACTTTTTATGCTTTATCTACTGAGCTAGCTACCATGAATCAGTATGTTCTCTGGTAATTTTCCTGAGAAAAAATGTTCATTGTCAAGGATGATTTCTGCAGAGCTAGTGTTTTTTCATTCTCAAAACAAATAAGCAAGCAAACAAACAAACAAACACAATTTGATAACAACTAGTTAATTAGTAGATCTTAAGTCCCCACTTCATAAAATGTGGAAAGCGGAGGAAATTATAACTATTTAGTGAGACTAGGCTAGGTAATCCAGTACCTCATCTTCCTCTATTACCCCAGATCCACTGGGGCCAGAATGATTTCAATGAGCTGTCTGGCCTGGCTGAGTCCTGCAGGCACAGTCTCAATTCTCTTTCAAAGCAGCCAGTCAGGTCAAACTGAAAGAATTACCTGCCACTGAACAGCTTGACTGGCCTCTTTGGAGCAGGAATGCTGAGCTTCAGCTGCCCAGATTTGAGGGAAAGTCGCGCTTCCAGGCCTGTTTCGTGGAAGAAGTTGGTGTTCATTTGGACCCCGCTTCTAGCAAAGTCTGGAATGATGATGCCCATATTTGTCACAAACTCCACAGATACAGAAGGCTTTGCCACCAGTTCTGCCTGCATCTGTAAGTCAGAAAATGACCTATTCAGCTTCATTAAATACCTTAGTCCACTGAAGTCAGATCAACCACCCTTCCCATCTCTGGATAGCTCCCACCTCAGAAACATGATAGCAGTTTGTTTGGAGGAAGAAAAGCCAAGTTGTCAGTTCTCCAGGGCTAGACAACACTGATACCCAGGACTAGGAAGTGGCCAAGTTAACTTGAAGCATAATATAAAAAGATGATGGAAATCCTCATATATTGAGAGAATAGCTGAGTTCTCATGTGACCGCTGTGCCCCAGTGGAGCTAGCAAGGTGGTGCGTCCTAGTGGAACCCTAAAGCTTTTCCGAAAAATGAATGAGGTGAATACATCGATGAGGCATTTCATCTTGAACTGGAAACACATTTGAAAAGTGCACAAGAAACCCACTCTGAAGGAAAAGAAACAACCTGAGGAATCAAAAGGTGAACAGAACAGGCTTACATCGGCTACGTCCAGTTTCACTCCAGCCTGGATTCCAGGAGTGATGACTCCAGAGAAAGACACTTGCAGTGGTAACCCAAGTCCGGTGGGGAGTTCAAAGGCATTGTCCATGAAGATGTAGTGAAGAAACAAGTCATCCTTTGAACCTCTCCTTAAGGCCTCTGCAACCTGTAGATCCGACAGGGGAGAGTAACTAAAAAGTAAGCCTCATCGAAGTGGGCTTTGTGAATTGCACTTTCCTGTATATCAGCTAATAATTATTCTTCTTCATCCAGAAAGAAAGGGACTAGCATATTTTGATTAGCTGAATAATTTAATAAGTAAAGATGAATGATTATTGATTTCAACACATTGGGATATAAAATTTTCTCAGGATATATATCATTTCATTTTCAACTAGTGATTCAGAAAGTATTTAAGAATACTGCTAGGCCTCCGATTTTTACGCACTTTAAGTCTCATTGCATGGTATGGCTTAATTCTGCTTTTTTGGAGTCTAAATGTAAATGAGGGTTTACTTGAAGTACAATGTATTATGGTAAAACCAAAATTCTGAGGGGGTGTAAATGTCTAACTATTGTGTTGCTTTACACACCTGAAACTAATAGAAAATAAATAAACGTGTACATTCAGAAGCAAAAAATTTGAAACCAATGAGCTATTGAGATGATATTCATATTAGTATGTATTGGTTTTTGTTTTGCATGACAGATCTAGAAAATAACTTCAGATCTGTTTTATTAAAGCCAACATTATTATTTATGAAATCCTAGAGAGTATATTTTGATATTTTCCTCCCTTCTTAATAAATTAATAAAAATAAAAGCTACAGCTCATATTTAGGTAGTAGATTACAGTTTGCCAAATACATCCTTTCATAATCATTGCATCATTTCAATATGGAAAGAAACCTGTAGCATAGGTAGAAGGAGCTACATTTAACATTGTTTTCCAGATGAACAAATGAAAGCTCTTAAAAGATACATCCAGCAGTATGGATAGTTTACTTTCTAAATGTTAGCAATTCCTTGTGATTTGAGAATCTTCTTTGCTAAAATTCAGGGCAATCTGTCTCTCTGAAGGAAGTACAAGCATTTTTGCTGGTTTGCCTGGCCAGGATTTTAAGTGAATCTGGGAGATCTAAAAAGAGCACAGGGCTCGTCTCATTACCTGTGATGGGCTTGGCCCACTTACCATCTGGGGGATCCCCTTCAGAGAACGGACACCGTTCAGGAGCATCCGACCCAGGAGCTGGAGGTCATGGAGCCTGACAAAGCCAAGCTCCTTTCCCAAGATGCGGAGGTAGGCTCTGGCTTCTGGGAATTCTTTGGACTTCAAATCTTTGATCAGCTTCTCAATATTGAGCATAATTCCGTTGACCATGTCCTGGGATGTTAACAACAAATATCTAGTGAGATGCAGCACTGCCAAACACCTTTAGGTTCTTGTTTTGGGGGCCTGTTTGCTACAGCTGTGATGGACCTAAACACAAACCCTTAGGGTGAGGATATGGGGCAGACATTGAAGTCAGGCTCCCACCTCTTATTGAAAGAGAGATAGCTTCTCCAAAGCGAGATATCTTCCACACTGTTCTTAACTTGAAAAATATAGGCACAGTAAGGGTGAGCTCTACTCTGCTGCCCCATTCCCTGCGTGTGCTCGCGTTCCTTTAACTAGGCAAGGATAGTAGGGGTTTCTTAGGGGAAGGTAGCTGCCATGTAAATTGGTCGAAAGCTTGAAAAAACATCTGATCCTAGACAAGTTCTTTTTTAGAGATGAGAAAAATTCCATAGACTGATGTTTAGGCGTTGAGAAAGAAGACAGTGATTGGCAAGCCCAAGGCAGATCAATGACTCTCAGCCTCAAGTAACGGTAAGGAAATTAGAAGGTGGGGGAGGGGCCACCTGTGAGTATCGAGGAGTAAATTATTGTTCTGTTCCTTAAACTGAAATGTGTATGGAAGTCAACCTCATTAAAATGCAGATTTTGATTCAGTAAATCCCAGAGGGCCTGAGAACCTGAATTTCTATCAAGCTCTGATATGATGCCAATGACTGAACCACACATTGGGTAGCAAAAAGTTAAAGAATAAAAGCTCCAGTTTATACAATATATTTTCTACTCATTAAGTGGGGGCTGATGCTAGCTTCAAAACAAATTTTGCTTTTATTAGCTATTGTACTGATGTGAGTGAGAGCCACAGAAAAAAGTTAGCAATAATGAAAAATACGAATATAAACATTATAATAGTATCTGCTTATTGAACAATCAGTACCAGAGTCAGGCACTCTGCTGAGACTTTTACATACTTTATTTCATTTAGTCTTTAAATAACCTTGTGAAACATGGGTTATTGTCAGCACTCTGGGGAATGAAGACACAGATAGACATAGTATCAAGGAATATACTCAAGTGTGCACAGCTTGAAGACAGTGTGGTGAGAATTCAAACTCATGCCCCAGAGTTCACACTCTTAATCAATATGCTAGAATCTCTCTATTGAGTCTGGTTCCGGGACACACTGAATCTTTACGAGGCCCATGACTGCAGAGGAGCCTGGCTCTTATCCCACAGGACTGGTTAATGAAAGTCATAGTTGTCACAGCCATTAGATAGTTCCTGGGTGACTTCCAGGCTTAGATAAGAATGTTTTTGCATTGAGACCCAAAGCTTTCTTGAGAGGATACTTAGCTTAAACATACCTGCTCACGTTTATCGCCTTTGGTGTAGCCAAAGTGGTCCACCAAGACCTTGGAGACACGATCAGGAACTTTACCATCAACCCAGTACAAAGCCTTGTTGACACTGTTTGGAAAAAATCCTTGCTTCCCAAAAAAAGCTTCTAATGTTGGCTCAAACCCTTTTCCTTCCAAACCAACCTGAGAAAGAAAATCAGGCAAAAACATGCTATTAAGTTCATTGTTGTTGGTCAACCTCCCATTCCCCTCTTTACGTCCATTTAATTAAACAAGTATTTGATGGCTACTACAAGGCAGGGACTGAGCTTAGCACTCCACAGGAGTGGTCTTATTTAAATCTCACTAGAATCTTCAAAGGCAGAACTTATTATTTGCCCTTTTCCAGAAGAGGCTACTATGGTCTGAGAGGATAAATCATTAAAGCAAAAATTTAGAGTTGGGAGTAGGTTTGGGGTTTGAGCCAGATCTGTCTGACTACACAGCCCATGCCCTTCCTTGGATTTTGTGTCTCAGGATGTATCTGAGACATCTGCATTTCCATTCATACTAAGAAGTCATGCTTCAGATGACCCCCTAGCAGGGAAGCAGGGGGGTGAGGGAGGTGGAAAGAAGCAGGCCTCAACTAACTGCCTGATGGTTATTGTTCCTGCCCCGCTGGTTCATGGCTCCCTTGCCTTTTTCTCTTTACCGAGTGTGGTGTAGAACAGAATGGGCTAGAAGACGTAAGGTTCTTCTTTAGTCTCACACATACCTCAAAGAGGTCAGCTGGAGAAAATCCAAAGACAGTGAGGGTTGTTTTCAGCATGCTTTCTTTTGGAAGGTAGTTATTTGGATCAAATATAAGATTGCCTTCGATTTTGGCTGACATTGGGTCAAACGATGGAAGAGAAATAGATTTGGAAAGTTGGTAGTTCCGGGAAAATTTTTTGAAGTCCATGACAGTTGGAAGTTGAGAATTTTCCAGAGCTGCTTCCACTAATTTTTTCACTCTAGATAAAAATAAGGAGTATATTTTGAGTCAACACATAGGTAACAATGCACATATTACATATGCATTGCCTCTCTCACCCCAAGTAAATAGGAATTTCCAGTTGCTACCAAACTCATAGGTTTGCCCCAAGAGTTTAGCTCAGGTCTGCTGTACTTTCATTGCACAAGCATTTGCTCCAGAACAAAGAATACTCTATAAAAGGCAGGCAGTAACTAAATCCAAATCAAAGTTTGGAATTTCAGCCCTTTGTATCAGATGGGGAAAAATTATTCTTACTTACTCCTGGACATACAGGTCTTCTGAGTTTAAGATGTTGGCGATGTGGGAAGCCACGAAGTTCTTCACTTGCTCATCCTGTTCCCGTGGGAGAAGTTGGGTGATCTTGCTAATATCTGACTGGGAAGCGTCTCTCATCAGCATGAGATAGGCAGCCAGTCGCTTATCCCCTGGAGAGGCACCATCAAGGAAAGTCTGAAGAAGGACTTCCCGGACCTGTAGCCAAAAGAGGAGACTGTTATCACTGCCCTTTGGTCAGAACACAGAACAAGCCTGGCAAACATCGGCATGGTCTGCAAGCAATTTCCTATGTGCAAGTCGAATTTCTCTCTAATGACTCTTCAGATGTCCGTACTGAATCTTCTTGCCAGTGCTCCCCAGAGCAACCAGCTCAAAGAAGGGTTCTCGGAAAACTCCTATTGAATGTACGTCAAGCTCAGTTTTAGTAAAACACACAAGTTATGGCCACATTATGACTTGTTGGAGACCTGCCACTAACTGAAAATAAAGTTGTTTTAACACAAATTATTTCAAGATGAGGGTAAAGGTGGCAAGGGATAGGGAGAGTTTGGGGCTAGTAACTAAGGTAGTGTCCAAAAAATATGGAGTCATTGCCAGCTAGGCTGACTATTCTGGTTTGGGGAGATTGGGGGAAATCAGGCAAGTTTTCCCAAGATAAACGAGAGTGAGAGTGATGATCAATTTGGTAGGAAGATAGTATGTAGTGAAAACGTCATGTTCTTCATGTTGGAGTAGCAGCAAGGTCAAATATTTCTCTCACGTTCATATACTGCTAGGCAGTCAAGTCAAACGACTTGGTGCAATTTGCAATTAGAAAGCAGTAGAACACAGTCTGGTCCATAGAATGACGAGATTTAGACTCCCTTTCCAAATCCTTGTCAATCTGAATAATTTCGCCCTTCAGACCTCCCCTGTGGAAGTTACCTCATCGTTAATTTCCATTTTCCGTAGGGCTTGGATGGCAGCCTTCTGAATCAGCACCGATGTCTCTGTGCTTTGGATACATTTCAGGATTGAAGACGTGAGTCTTGGGGTTACCTGCTTCATTTTCCCACCAATATTTCCAATGACCTGAATGGAAAAGCAACAAGAGGGAATCAGGGTGCAGAAGGAGAAGGAAGGGGTGTCCAGGAAAAGTACTTCTGAAATGATGACTATTATACAGGAGACGGAAAGTACCCTCAGAATAAGGTAGGTGTGTTCTTCATTCCCAGTGCAGCCGTCGCGAATCTGTTCCAACAGGTAATCAGCAATGTCCTCAAAGTCTTGAGCCACTGTAGGGCCTGCCTTGTGATAGCTACAGAAAAAGAGTTAGGACTCAGTAAGCATAGCTAGGTTTGTCTCAAAATCCAAACGTGCATTTGCTGATTTCTTATGTTAAGTCATTACTCTCACAAAGACCAGTAGAAAAACCAGAGTAAGCATCAGAGTTTGAACTCAGAGGAAGGGGTACAATCTTAATACAGAGATGTGGGGTCTTCCTCAGCTCCTATGGGGAGAACCAGTGTAAAACTCACTTGTTGATCACGTGACCCAGAGCATACAACGTGGCCCGGCTCTGCTGCTCCTTTGCCGTGTTAAAGATCTCCTGCAGCCTCTGGGTCGAGGGCTCTGGGAGCAGGGCCAACAGGTAGGTCACAACATCTATCACAAGGGGGTTGGCTTTCTCACTTTTCAGCCACTGGAGGATGTGAGTGTAACACTGGGGCTGTCCACACTGAATCAGGGCTTGTAAAGTGATGGGGCTGTGAAGGAAAGGGCAGAGAAAGTTACATAGGTTGCCTTCAAGGCAGCTAAAATATGCTTGGCCTATGGTGTTTCCTCTGTCAGGAGTGCCCTCATTTCCCTTATTCGTTACCCAAATCCAACCGCCTGTCAAAATCTAACTCCGATCCCAAGAACCAGGAAGCCTTCCCTGCGAGCATCATCCACTGGAGAGGTGTTCCGGAGGCAAGTCTGAAGAAGGACCCCCTGGACTTGTCACGATAAGAGCCCTGTTATCACTGTCCTTTGGTCAGAACACAGAACATGCCATACAAACACTGGCATGGTCTCATTTCAGTCCTGTTTCTTCTCTGATCTTCACAGCACTAAGAGCCAGTGCCTTGAAGCACAGAGAGATCGCAGTATGATTTTGTTTGCCCGAGTTCTCTCTCCACTAGCCTATAGGCTTCTGAAAGGTACAGGCTTCTTTTTGTCTCAAACCTTCCAGGGTAACAGGATGAGGAATTAGAAGATACCCATCAAACAGTGGGGAATATTTCCCTCCTGTCTTAACACACAGATACATATCTGCCTTGGATACACCTTGAGTATGTGTGTGTTCCCCAAGGAACTTTAGGCACCTTAGCTGATATTCCTCTATCCAGCAAGCAGGAACTGACTGACCAATTGATTAACTGCCTTGATATTTCAATGGCCCCTGAGATTCTCTGTTTGGCCAAGGTTTCAGCCAGCTACCATAGCTGTATAATCTATGAAGGATGCTGCAGCCATTAAATATATACCTGGACACCTTGACCAGCTTTGGCAAGAGGGATGCAACTGCCTCGTTGTTGAGGCCTCGCAGCTCAGTAACCAGTTTATTGAAGAGTTTAGCTCTCTGGGCATTCTGCTCGGATACGTGTAGTTTTTGCAGCTCCTGGAGGGTCTTCACAATGGCCTCAGCCTGCTTCGGCGGTGATGCAGATTTGCTGCTCTCAAAGGCAAGAGACACCTCCTTGGTACCTGGAAAGAGGAACATGTCAAAGGAATTCTAGCTTACCTTGACATATCAACCATCTCTTGGTCCTCTGGAAACTGGAAATCAGTGAGATATCAACAAAGGGGAAAAGGAACCATTCTGTACTTGATGCTTGTTCTGCATCTGGCTCTGTGCTCGGTATTTGACTTCAGTGTTTTTATGGACTCATCATATTATCCCTGTGGGTTAGTATTAGTTCTCGATTTAAAGATAAGGGAACTGAGACCCAGATTTGAGCAACTCACCTCGTGCGAGACCTCTCTGGGTATAAGAGGCAGAGCTGGAATTGAATCCAGGCTTGTTTGAACCTGGTAGCAGATTACCTCTTTGCCCCAAAGAGCTGGTGAGGAGATACTGCTGCTGATATGGCTACAGCTGAGGCTCACCTGTCATTTCTTCCACTTGAATCTAATAGCGGTTTTGTGGGGGAGAGGGAGACTCTTGTGTCTCCTTTATCACACTGCCCTGACCTAGGCTCGGGAAGGGGGTTAATTCAGCAGGGAAACATGGTGGAATGGAAGGAGTCTTGGCTTAGATTAGACCTAGGGGCTCATTTGGCACCACCTCTAATATTCTGCGACCTTGAATAAGCCTCTTTATGCGTCATTTTCCCATCAGTAGAATGAGCACAAAAACACACATAGCTACCTCCTGACATCACAGGTTGCTGAGAACAATGAGGTAACGCGTGAGACAGACTTAAATACAAGGCACATGCAGGGCTACAGTTGGGCTAGAGATCTCTAAAGTCTCTTCCATCTGTAAGACCAATTCCTGACCCCGAAGGTCCTCTCTGACTTGTCCCAGGCACCAGGTCTTATCACAAGGTATATGAGGTTGTCAGATCTACCAAAGGCAGACTTAGAAGGCCAGTTTCCTACTTACACAAACCTAGGTAGGTTTGGGAAACATCTCCCTTTCCTGTATCTCCCTTGTCACTTGACATTCTGAAATAAATATGCTGTCTCACTAGAGTAGCCCATAGCCAGAACACCAGAACCCACTTAATTCATTAGTCAGCAGACGTTTCATGTGGCCCAGCAAGGAGCTAAACCATGACACGTGGAACATCTTGGGCAGTGGCAACCGCATGGGTAGAAAGTCTTACCTTCATCAAAGAAACGGCTGTTGATCTTAGGTGTGTCTTCAAGTTTCAAAGTCTGTGTAACCTGCGCCATCATCCCATACTTGTTCCTGGTAACAAAGGAAGCACATCGGGTAACAAAGGATGGCCAACTCCCCAAAGCATGCTATTCTTTTCATGTCAAATGTTTTCCCATGTCCACTTCTACCCAAATCCTGTACACCCCTCAAACCATGGTTAAATCCAGCCATCCTGACCCTCCTAATGAAAAGGACCCACCTCCCCCTGGCCACACTAGCTGTCCTTACATTGAAAGATCTAAGCACCTCATACCTTCAACCTGTGTGGAATGCCCAGAGGGTAGGGACTAACTCTGTGCCTGGAATTCTTTTGTATCTCCCACAGCACAGTGTCAAGAATATGTGGTTATTCAATAAACATGAGTTGATTGATTAATTTTAAAAATGGGTTTGGATACCCAAGTCTGCAGTCCAAATTCCAAATCCTCCACAAAGCCCTTCTAACCAGGGCAGCCTGCAATGATCCTGGCTTTTCCCGATCTATAACCCTTAAAGTCTGGGTCTCTGATGTCTTTTGTTGATTTGAAATTGTTTTGCGTACCTAAGAGTTTCCTGATAAATCTCCTGTTAGCTTGAAAAAGGGGATAGGACGGGCTCTGTGTTGTACCTCTTCATAGCCCCCTCCCAGGCACAACTTAGCCTGGATCAGGGTACCTGAGGAGCCTTCAGCTCACATAGACCCCATAAATGATGATTGCGGGGTGCAGCAGGTGACCTACTTGTAGGAGAAAGGCAGGAACAGGTTTTGTTCCTTGCAGATGGCTTCTGAGACATGCTTTCTCTTGGGGTCCAGAGTGTACTGGCAGGACTGGCTGCTGCTGATCAGAGTAGACAAGGGGCGGGTCTGTGAATGAGACGGGGGGAAAAGCATTTTGATCAGTCCTTGGGGCTTGACCCTGAGTCTTCTGTCATAGGCATTTACTTTCAAGAAAGAAGGGGAAGAGGGGAATGGGAATTCTGTGCCACTAGACCAGGGGTCGGCAAACATTGGAGACAGAAGAGCCAATTCTGTCCCTCACAACAATATAAAAATGATTCGAGAGCCATAAAACAAATGAAATCTCCATTATGTGAATAATATCCTTTGACATTTTTTATAAATGAAACTATGATAGTTTTATTTTCATTTTCAATTTTACTTCAGAGCCACATGTACGTACCCAAAGAGCTGCATGTGGCCCATGAGCCACAGTTTGCCAACCCCTGTACTAGACAAACTCAGTTAAAGAAGGGAACTTGGTACTTGACATTGAGACAAGGGGATGCAACAACTCGGCTGACCCAAAGCTGAGTCAAGCTATAGACTCTTCTTATTCGACCCAAGGGACACCTCATTCTGCACAAAGCGCGAATAGCCTGGTATCCTACACATCCCCGCCCGACCACACATTGACACTTCACACTTCTGCTCCCTGTGTTTTCTTGGAAGCCCATCCTTACATCTCTTTTCCATTTACATATCCTTTGTATCTTTCAGTCTTCTGCTCCACATCCTCCGTGAAACTTTGAGTCTAGGTTCACTGATGCTCACCCGTCATTTCTTCTAACTGGATCTACTAGCGGCTTTGCCCAGTGAGTTCTGTGAATGGTGCTTTCTCCTTCATGGTCAGGCCTAGGACTGCTTGTCCGCCCTGCTCAGTTTACCACTTCATCAGGTGCGCCATGTATTGTTCTTTCTTGGCATGTGTACGAATCATGTTCCTGCATTAGGCTGTAAGCCCCTTGAGGGGAAGGTTCATGGTTCATCTGCCACTGTTCTTCCCTCAGTGCTGCCCAGAGTGGGGCTGAGCACACAGCAGCTGCTTGGAACACACACACACACACACACACACACACACACACACACACATATACACACAGAAACCAGGGCACTGGCCTCTTCTGGCTGTGGCCCTTGTGATCCCTGTTTTGGGCCCAAGGACGGTGACCAGGAGCATTGCCAGGCATGACATGATTGCTCAAGTCCTTAGTGTTTACTGAGATAAGCTGTGATTCATGTTCCAGAAGGTATTACAAGGCCTTAGGTAAGCTCAGGCAATGTCGTGCTATGTGACCCCTGTTGCCAGGACAGCACGGAAGGTTTGTACTGAGGGGGTGGCCCAGGCAGGGGGCAGAGGGCCCAGGTACTGACCAGGGTCAGACATGAGATGGAAAGGCAGGACCCTGGAATGCTCTCAGCCATGTCACCTTCTAGGATTAAGGCAGAGGAGAGCAGAACACAGGTCTTGGGACTGCCTTAGAGGCTAAAGGCTTAGAGCTGGAGACATTCAGCCCTTGCACTGGAAGGGGCAGCAGGTGGCTTTGTTTCCCTACATTGAACTTTGCAGCCTCCTCGGGGATGGACAGTCATTACTCTCATATGATGGCAGAAGATTTGGTGCCAGTGACAGAATGAGAGCAAGAAAGGTAGGGTTCTGGATTGGCAAGCAGAAACCTGATTCTACCAAGTGCCCTTGGGCAGTCCGTTCCTTTCTGGTCCTCAGCTCCCCACTACAGTCTGTGTGAAGAAGAGACTGGGCAGGTTCTTCTCGGAGATCCCCACTAGCTCTAACTTTCCAGAATTTTCATAACAAAGAGGATACTGCTTAGTGTGAATAGCAATGCTGATGTGACACTTACCATGCCTTTGATCAAGGCAAGTGGGCTAACTCCAGTGCTAACGGGCTGGAACTGATCACATTTCTCCAGGTTTCTTTCAATGGATATTTCTGTTGCCACGTTTCCCTTCCTTGTTTTTACGGTCAAGTCGCTGGAGCAGTTTCCGTATACAGTATCCTAAGGGAGAAGATACAACAGGTGCATTCAACGTGGGAAAACATCCTTTGGGGCTCTGGGAGGGCCTGGGAGGAAACGCAGGAGCAGTTGGGATTCCGGGGACACTTTCTTCCTCCCAGGCAGTGTGTGGGCCCTGCAGGCGCCCAGCCAACCAGAAGCAGAGTGAGAATGCCCCTGTAAGAGTGGCTCTGATTCTGATGCACACACCAGCCAGGACTCGTAGGACCCAGCCAACACTGGCTTTCTATGCTGTGCTCTCAGAGTGCTTTCTCTACTGCTCATTTACGGCATGGATTCCAATCTGCCTTGTGTAATATGTGTCTTGGTTCTCCCCCCAGACCCCGGGAAGTCCCTGAGGAAAGGTCTCTGCAAGGTGCAGATCTGTATTCTCTCAGTATCGTGTAATATAGATCTTAGAACATAGCAAGGGCTCAGACATGGTCATGGGGACTGAAATGAATTGAATTCTCTCTCAGATCAGAGCCTGAAATTCTTAAAAGCGGCTGGCCACAGATTCAGTTATTTTCTGTGTTGAAAATACGTGGAGGCTTTCCTGGGTTCCACGTTGTGGGAATGAAACAAAATCAGACCAGAGAGTAGGGTGGTCAGGACTCCCCAGAACCTGCTTTAAAATCAGATCCGAGCTGCTCGGGATGATCTGTCCATGAGCCCAGAGGACAGGGAGAGCCTTGGCACCAGCGTTTCACACCAACATAGGGCCTCCTGTGTAAACAGCCGGCCCATAAAGGATCCACTTTATGGAGACAGTGGGACCCGGCTCGAACGTGGGAAGATGGGCTTAAAGGGCCACTCTGATCAGCTTTCTAAATTCTCACCATAAACAAGACTTGTTTGGCCTCTTCCGTTTCCGGGGGAACCAGGAGAGCGGAAATGATGCCCCTTTTGATGTTCAGGATGTGTTCAGGCTCGTCCTCCTCTGGGTAAAGTATGACTTGTTTGCCTTCAGGAATGGCCAGCCTGAGCTCGTACCTGTGCCGGAGAGAGTCTGGTCACAGAAATGTTCTTTGTCCTCCCGGAGCCTGGTGGACATAAGCTGGGTGGCTCTGCAGCCTCCTTTTTACTTACTTTCTTTTTACATCTTTTCTTCATAAATATATCTACACATATACATACATTTTCAAAAAAGTGTACAATTAGTTGTATGTTTTTGGCCCGCTTTTATTTCTTTTCCTTTATGGCTGGCTCACGTGTCCCCTGTCTGTTCTCCACTCACATCTCTGCTGTCATACTCCCCACAGAAAAACAATCGGGGTTCCCATGTATCTCCACACTCAGACAGCCCTACATAGATGGGTGTGGGCGTGAACGTCCACATAGAAAGGTTTGGTAATTGCTCGCTTTATACAAATGGCACTGCATGATGCACACTTTTCTTTGTCTTACTTTTCTCACTTAATTATGCTCCATGAATGTCCTTCTGAGTCATTTGGTAGTGCTCTAACGGATTCTTTGCAAAAAGCGGCAAATATTGAATTCTTTGTTTATATATAATTTGTATAGACGTTCCCCTATTTAATGGCATTCACTTTCTTTCTGGATTTTTTTTCTTTTCCACATGAACAATACTGAAATAAACATTCTTATGCACATATTTTCACACATTCCTGCTTTTCTTTTCACAGGCTAGATAGAGTCCCAGAGTTTGAAACTGCTGTGTCAAAGGCTAGAGTGTTTTTAATTATCATAGATACTGACTAATGGCTCTCCTTTACACCAGCCGTGCATGAGAACACACTTTTCCTCACAGGCCTCCCAGCAGCAGGTGCTTTAGCTGCTTTAAATTTTTGTAGTCTTATCGGTGTAAAATGATAAAAATCTTGCTACATTAATTGCATTTTTTGACTGCTAGTGAATTTGAGCTTCTTTTCAAACATTTGTTGGACATTCACTCTTTGATATGGTCTCAGGCCATGTCTGAGGCCCGGGTCAACTTTGATCTTAGGGATTTTCTTTAGGGAACCTTCTTTTGGGGGTTGCACCTACTTTAGTTATGTCAGAAGGAGGAAAAGGAGGCCAGGCATGCCACCCACAACTCTGCACTCTCTCGGAAAGTTCCAGACGCTGTGGTGCAGGCTTGGAAAGCCTTGAGGTAGTCAAGAGCTTTGGTTTGGAGGTGGGTAAGGACCAAAAAGTAACTTCTGCTCACTCCCTTCCTTCACTGCACCCTGCTCCCGCACACACATCGAAGTCTCAGATAAAATAAGGTGTGTTGATGAGAGACAGAAGCATCAAGGCCTACTCTGCAGAGAAAGGACTGGCTTCTGGGGTCTAATGTTCAACACATCCAAAGGTGGGCAGGGGGTTGCCCACGCTACCAAGTCCACAAACCTATGACTGCTTGTATTTCCACACTCTTAGGACATTACAAACGGTGACCTGGAGAGGAAGAAGGGGTGACGTTCAAAATATTTAGCAGCCTGTACAGCAGCATGGATGCTGATCAGTCCAAAGAGAAACCAGCTGTAAACCGCAGGGCTGGCCTGGCCGGCGTGCACCGGGAGAATGCAGGCCTGTGAGGGAGGGCTCAGGCCTGGGCTCTCCCCGGACTCGCTTGAGGCTGGGCTTTGCTCCCCGCTGACCAGACCCTGCACTGCCTTGGCAAGCCACAGCAGCAAGTCCTGCGGGGACCCTCCCTGAAGACCATCAGGTCACTCACTCTTGCTTACTTCTCTACATAAGAATGCACGTATTTAGGCAAACCATCTCAGCTTTATCGTCTCAAGGAGCTTTAAGCATATAGATCTTTTAGGAACACATTTAAATGATAAGCAGGGGAACTTCACCAGGGGAGAGTAAATAATGCTTCCCTGTTTCGGGTTGTTGTGAAAACTCAGCAACTACCTGATCCAAGGTGAATACAGAATACAGAATACACACATTCCTAGCTCAGCGCATGTGTGCGAACACACAGACACACAGACACAGACACACACACACATACACACACACACACACACACACAAACACACACACACACACACACACACACACACACACACACACACACACACACACACACACACACACACACACACACACACACACACGCTCATGCACAGCACATCCAGCGACACCCAAAGCTTCAGAAATTGAAATGCACGGGCCCAGCCTTACTTGGACATGGCTGCAGCGAACTCCTCCGAGTTCTTGGTTTTCCTCAGCAAGGCCATGCCCTCAGGGCTGAAGCCATGCGCCTCTTTCAGGGTACACTGGCTTATCTTCAGGATGAAGCTGCAGAGTTGGGGGACCTCCAGCTCGACCTGAGGAGACAGGGTAGCTGCACAGTAAGACCCTCCATCAGGAATGCGAGACTCCCACGTGGCCCTGGGCTTACTCCCGAATCAGGACACCAAGGGGAATGCTGTTGGCGAACATGACGTCTGCTCCCCAACACCACATGTGTCCCTAACACGACTCATGAGTTCCCCATGAATCCACCTACACTTAGTCCTATATGTGATCTTTTCCATGTTCTGGGGTCCCAAGTTTCTTAAGTGTGCCCTTATGCATGTAAAGGACTGTTTTTGTTGGTTTTTTTTTATTGGTTCTAAATATACTCACTTTAGTAATAGAGGGGTATCACTGGTTAGAAAAAACAGCCTAGGAGTAAGAGATAAGAAGAAAAATAGGGAGCAGGAGGAAGACGCTCACTGGCTTCAGCAGCAAATGTTCCCTTAAAGTCACCAAAAAAAAAAAAAAAAACCAATCCAAAAAACCCAAAACTGTATCTGTTAAGGACTCCTCAAACATTTGTGTATAGCTGGAGTTTAAACAGATCCCTATCTGTTTGTTATCCAGACCTGTTCAAAGAATTTTCTGCAATGATGGAAAAGTTATATATTTGCACTACCTAATATGGGAGCCGCTAGCCACAGGTGGCTATTGGGCACTTGAAATGTGGCTAGTGTGACTAAGAAATGGAATTTGTACTTTCATTCAATTTAAATAGCCACATGTGGCTAATGGCTACCTTATTTGACCACACAGATGATGTGACCCTAGAGAGAAGAGGGCAGCTTCTCGGCCTCCTTTCGCCACCTGAGCCCCAGTAGTGGCCCTTAGATCTGTTTCATATGAACAGGACCATGAGTACAACCAGTCTCAATAAGAAAAGCTTTATTTGAGAACAAACTGCATGTTTACAGTTTTCTGTTTTTTCCATTTGTTTTTAGTAACTCATGCTATTTGACTTAGGTCATAAAAACTGCACTCCAGAGAGCCTTCCTGAGGTGCCACCTCCCTTTGGCTCACCCACGGGGCTTCCCTCATCATGTTAAACCTGCAGTTCTCCACTGCTGGAGTTCTAGATCACCTATTCCAGTCGTGCCTGGAAAGCTGATGGGAAAATAAATCCAGTTGGCAAAAATTCTGGGGCAGACACCTTTTCAGCAAAATGGCTGACTTTCAAACTGAGGGTTAGTCCCAGAGCTTCGAGATTACCACCGTTCTGGCATGAGCTGGGTTTGCTCCGCCGTCCACCCCAGGTCCTCTCCATCTCCCCTCATACCTTGCAGTTGATCCTGGTGACGCTTCTTGAGTCAGCAGTCCCGGGGACCCCACTGGAACTCTCAGCCTCATAGTTGTAGATGTACTTCCTCAGGTGCTTGAATCGAGTTGTGTCTTCTAAAATGAGGAGAAATAAGTCAGCTCCATAGAAAAAAAATACCTCCCCTCAAGGATAATCAATTCTGGGCAGAGGGGCCACAGTGGCCTAGACAATTTAAAAAAATATCTACGGTATTAAACTCAAATTATTTTTAACTGACTTTGTATTATCCTTAATTTTCCTTTACAGATTTAACTTCACTATGTTTTGCCAAGGCTACTGTTTAAATTAGCTGGCATTCCTTGACTATATCATCTGAGGTACAAGGAGGTACGTGTCCAGTAATGGGGCTCAGAAAGTCCACAGGAGGGGCTGGAAAAATAAGAGTTGACAACATAAAGCAGGTATCTCTAACGCCTTTTCAGTTTGAAAATGCCATAATTCTGTGGCACTGTTTTGGTTTTACGGAATACCTCAGGGAAAATCCATTAAGTGTTCGGGGTATCTGGCTGACTTAAGAAACCCCCAAGAAGGAATATCTGGATGTTTCCTCTGTGCTTGAGAGGAATTTTCTGAACAATTTGAGAAAAAGAACATCTGGGTCACAAGCCCAGCTGCAGTAATGCCAAAAGCCCACGAGATGGCAGTGCTGCCCCACCAGAGGCCGGCCTGTGCTCTCAGGAGAACACAGGGTACCCAGGCAAGGCCAGCTCCTTTGACCCCTAGGGGTCAGGTAAATACAAACGGGTAGGGGTCTGGGTTTCTGCGCAAAGGTTAAAGTCAGCATTTCCTCACCCTCATGTGCTTTAAATCAATGATTAGCCACTGGTAAACAGGATGGTGATGTTTCCTTAAAGTGTCCGTGGGCCAACAGAGTGACACTCCTTTTCCTACCCTCCCCCTGATGGAGCTTTTGGGACAGAACAGAAGGGCAAGCACAAGAGAGTTGCGACTGCTTGGGGGTGGGAAGAGGCCCAAGGAATTGGCTTCTTGGCTCTCAGAGTGGGGCACACCAATCACAGTACCACAGCATCCCGAGGCACAGATGGGTGGGTTGGGGGTGCGGGGTGCCCTTCCTTGCCCAGTGGGAAATGCCTTACTTGGACAGCTGGGGCTGACATTTTCCAGCACTTCGTCTTCTGTAAGAAAAGGAGAAAGACAACTGTGGATCTTCCAGACGGTCCCTAGGGCCTGACAGGGAGCACCACTGCATGCATAATAAGCCTTTTATCTTTTAGGAGGTATCAGGTCCTGGAGAGCCCACTCCCCAGTCCCTCCCCCCTTTCCATCCTGAGGCTGGAGGAGCCACTCAGCTGGCTTTGTCATCCTGTCCCCCAACTGTGACTGCCCTCCATCTGACCCAAGCCCAAGATGCCCCAGCCACCGCTGCTGCCACTGGCTTCCGCCCCTCTGGCTTGATCTTGGACGCTCCCCCAGCGCGGCACCCTGGAAGGCTCCGGGCAGGTTGGGGGCTGCGTTACTCACGTGTCCTGGCGCCTGCTACAATCAGCAGGAGTAGCAGTGCCGGCAGCGGCAGCTTGGTCCCCGGTGGGCCCATGGCCGCCCTGGGCAGGCTTTCTCGTTGCGCCTTGCTGGCTGGGTCTTGCCTCACACCGTTCGCTAGCTCCACACAGAAGGGCACCCACAGTTCTGGCGCCCGGGACAGAGGTGAGAATGCGCGCTCGGCGCCCGCGCCCTATTTTATAGGAGGCCACCCGCCCAGGGCCACAGCAGCCTGGCTTAAAGAGCGCCGAGCAAATTGCAAAAGGTCCAAAGGGCAGCGTTCCAGGCCTGTTTGCTTTTTCCATACCGGGCTCTTCTCTGAGGTGAGGGGGCTCAGCTGGGGACCCAGCCATGGCCACACCTAGCCTTTCCTCCAGCCAGGCCGGTCCCCCATGGGCCTCAGAGGGTGGGGCCAGTGGGCTTGGCGCCTGAGAAGTCGGCCTGACCCAGCAGTGCTTTTAGGAGATGACCAGACACAGGGGACAAACCCATCCCTGATCCCTGCTCTGACTTTGTAGCCATTTAGGGACCCAGTCCTTTTCCAGCGCCTTGGTGGAGACATTTTCCTCTCAGTTCTTTTCCATTTTGGTGGATTTTGGGTTTGCATGGCCTCCCCCAATCCTGATCAGTCAGTACCTGTGGCTGTGGTTACCTGTTCTGAATTCAGACTATCAGGAGAGCAGAGAGAAAGGGGCAGGAGGGAGGCCTGGTGAGTGACTAACCAGAAGTCACCCTGAAGGACAGCAAAGTCACAGTCACAGCAGGAGTCCAGGTGCCCAAATCTTCTAGAACCCCCTTGGGCAGGATCTTTTTGAGGAAAGGAGGCTTTTGCCTACATGAACCAGCTCCTGCGTTTCCTCCAGGGCTGGGGAGGCCAGAGTAGTGGACTGGACATGCCATGTTCCATCTAATCATCCTGGAAACTTCTCCATGAATCCTTCCTTCTTCCTCTAGGTACTGACGTTTCCCACAGGAAACTTTCCCCCAGGCGCTTTTCCTCTGCCCAGCTGTAGGAAATCAGGCACAGTCTACAGAGCTCGGTAACCCTGATTTGAAGGACCCTGAAACAACCATAAAGGGTCATTGATGGGATGGTGCTGTGATGGGATGGATGAGTGTCTGAGACTGGCCATGTCCACCAGGCACCTCCCATCTGGTTGGGGAGATGAGATGTGTAGACGGAAAACTGCCGATGAGCAACGGAGGTAGGCTGTAAGCAGCACCAACCTGTGTGGGGTCTAAACTCGTGGAGGGGTGCAAAGTGAACAGCGGGAGTGGAGGGGGCCCAGGGGCAATGAAAAGGGGCTAGGGGTTCATGGCTACCTGAGGCATTTGTTGCAGAGTTATTGTTATAATCTGTTATTTATGAGATCTTTTCAGATATATATCCAGGTGTAACGAATACTCGTGAAGTTGTTTAAATCTTCTGGTGGCAAGGCTGATGGTTCTAGAAGGGTCATATTCGGCAGCAGTCATGGTATAAAGACCCCCTTCCCCTCAGAAGACTCTCACTGTGGCATTTGTCTTGTTCCTAGCACTTGGGCCTTCCCACTTCTCACTCACGTCCAGTATTGTTGTCTTTAGCTATGAGCTCCCTGTGGGCCGCTAAACTCCCTTCCATGGTCAGTTGCTTTACATCTGTGGTATATTATTGGGTTGTCGGCAAAGTCATGCCGTATTTTTTCTATGTTTTTCATTGCAAAAATGCGTCATGACTTTTCTGACAACCCAATAATATCGTTAAAGGTGGATATTACAAAGGTCGCAGCCCAAGGCTGGCCAGCCCCATGCCACTGAGTTGTGAAGGACCTGGAAAAAGTCATTGTTTGGAAACCCCAAGTCTCTGAGCATTTGCTTTGAACTGTTTTACGTGGGCAGACTTTCCACAGGAGAAGCAGCTGTATTTTAAGAAATGGTCCCTCTCCCATGCATGTTCACTTTAAGGAGAATGGGTGAGAACGTGTAGTTACAAAGAAACCAGACAGAGATGGCTAGCTTAAATTTACAAGCACAATCCAGGCTTTCTCTGTTGGGTGATGGAGGAAGTCCACATCCTATATAGCCAGCCTCAGTAGAGAACATAATTTTTACGATTTGGGAATCAAAAACGAATCTGATAGCTTGGATGCAGGGAAATCTTGTGGGATGTTTGGATGTTCCTGAGTCGTCTGTCACCTCTAAAGGAGGAAGCCTAAGACTGAGGCCAGCTTCACTCTCTTTTCCTGATTTCCTCTGGAAAGCCACCCCTGTGCAGGGCTTCAGGCAGCAGCAGAACTCACCCTCTGACTGTACACAAGCACCACAGACAACATGCTGAATTGTTGAGTTGACTACTACACTCACAAGAATACTGTAAAGATTAGTGCATAGATTTTTCTTAAGTTACAAAATCCACTTAGATCTTTTTCCAAAGGCTATTGGAAAATATAGCATTATTTGTGACCACAGAGAGCACCCTTTAAGTAGAACATTTCTCCGTTCCCTCACCTGAACCTGTTTTAAATTTCAAAAGAATATTGACCAGTCTTCATAGAGACATCAAATAGAATCAGGAGCCAGGAAACCTTCTAGTATAAGTTACTCATTGAACAGAGAAAATGTTAGCCCAGAGAGAAGTCAGCCTATGTAAAGGAAACCAGGGTGAGTGTTAGACTCAAGAAGACCTGGAATTGAGTCCTACCTGGGTTCCTTGTGAGGTTTGAAACCTTGGGCACGTGACTTCACCATCCTAGGCCTCTGTTCAGTCACCCCTAAAACAGGATTAAATATATCTACCTTCCAGCGAGGCCTTCGATAGCTCATTTGGTAGAGCAGAAGACTGTAGTGGGTGAAAATATCTACCTTCCTCACAGGAATTTTTGTGAGAATTCAATGGAACAATTATGTAGACTGCCCTGAAAGCATGATGGCTGGCAAACAAAAGACACTCAATAAATGGTAACTTTTATGATTTAATATGTGTGTTACAGTGGAAGTGTGTTTGTTGGGTACCTATTTGAGCTAGCTAACCACAGTCTATATGCAAACAGAGGAAACTAGAACAAAAATAGGAAATTGGGGCCTAGGAAAGGGAGCAGAAACAAAACAGGGCATCCGTGAGGGCCACGAAGGGCTGTGACTGAGCGTCCATTTGTCTCTGATGACTCCTAACGTTTCTGGGTATTTGAAATCACCGTTTCTCTGGGGGAAAGGAGGCCTTCCTACAGCAAGCAGACTAGCGATTGTAGCAGAGATACTTTCTGGTGTCATAAAAATTAATTTTAGTGAGTGGCTATGACTTATCAGCTTCTGAACTCAAAGTCCTGTGGGGAGAACCATCAGTCTGAGTAATCACAGATCTCTGGGTTCCCATTCGGAGGCCGCCTGACTAGTGGAATTTCAAGGAATTAGATAATGCGGGACATACCAGTGATGGCCTCTAGAAGTGAAACTGTGCGTTCTGTTTATCTGCAGTGACCACAAGGATCCTGGCCAAGAACTATGGAAGGTATTAAAGGCCCCTCAGAAACCCAATATTCTGAGTTCAGTATAGTTCACATATTGAAATAAGAGTTCAGTGCCTAATTTGGTGAATACAAATGAATGAATCTATGCCATTCATTATACCCCATTGCTACCAGGATATTTATGTATAGTGACCATGATGCTAAATAACTCAGTGACATATTGGGTCGTCAGGAAAGTCATGATGCATTTTTGCATTGAAAAACATAGAAAAATACGTCATGACTTTCCCGAGGACCCAATAAAAGGAGGACATACAATTTGATACATTATTTCCAGTGATGCTGTTCAAAAAACTCATTTGGCAAGTAGGGACCAACACTGACAGTGATTAATTAGTCTATCTCTTTTCTGCCCACGACAGCATTATAATTGCAAATGATGCCCAGAAGATGGAAAGTAAACTTCAAGAATTGTAGACAGAACTATGCCCAGTATGGTCTGTGCATGGCAATGATACACACACACACACACACACACACACACACACACACACACACAAATAAGAAATGTCAAGAAAAAAAATAGGGCATTTATGTGGAAGATGGTGGAATGGGCCACTGTCAACCAAATGGAGACATTACTGATGGATGAGTAAAGAATTTCCTCCCGGGGAGGAAGCCAAAAATTTTCCTACTCTGTCATCCTTCTATCCAAGAGATAAGGTCAGAATGTTGAACAGCAGTTCTCACTGGAGGGAAGAAGTGAGAAGTCAGCACTGTTCAGTGTGTGTGGTGAAGTTCTGTGCATATGAAGTATCACTTCCTTGACTATGCAGGTCTCATCCATCCACCCTTCCAGGGCCAGCGCCAGCCCCACCTTCTTTGAGGAGCCTTTCCTTGGGTCCATCCCAGATAAGACCTCATGGCATCTAACCCTAGTCTCCTATCATTCAGTTTCTATGTAGGGCAACTGATCCTGATGGGCCTTCATACAAACCTTCTATTGTTGCCTTGAACGTATATTTTTCTCTGGTGATATAATTTAGTTTTTCACGTGTTTACATAGTACCCTGCCAACCAGAGAGATAAGCTTGGCGGGCAAGAACTGTGTGCAGTTTTCACCTTTGTATCCCTCCCCCTTCACGAATACTTTGTACTAGGCTAGACAGTAGCTAAGGAGTAAATGCTGTGATTATACTGTGACATGGTCCTTGGGAGACCATTCTTTTTCATACATGCTACTGCATATGTTGATACCTTAATTTAGAATGTATGGCGAACTTGAGTCAGTAAGAGAGAGGCAGGATTTATAAACTAGGACCACGGGACAGTCTCTAAGACTCTGAGTGTCAGCTCCACAGCTGTGTGATGAGTAGACAGGACTGGATGACCTCTTACACCCATTGCAGCTCTAACTACTTTGATTCTATGAAGACGTCCCAGTTAAAAAAGATACATAAGTTACCCTGGGCTCAAACCTCACGATGGTTAGGGGCTGAGGCTTCAGAATCATTAAGCAGGATGGATTTTCTGGGAGGCGGGCTACCTCTACAAAGACACTCACGCTGCCTAAGAAATAGAATGTTTCACCCATTTAAAGCAGATTTCCAAATAAGGAGAGGACATGCCCTCCTGGGGCTGCTGGGGAATTCTTGAAAATTCTTCCTCATGTCTAGCTTTAGTTTTTATCCTTGCCTTAATTTCAGATATACTCCCTTAGCTTTTCCTTTGAAAG